TTGGTTCTGATTGGTCGGTGTCTATGCCAGGCAGTGTCTCTGGGCCTATCTCTGGGCCTGATCAGAGAGATGGGGCTGATCAGCAGCCCCGATGGAGGCCTGAAGAGAAACAGAGGCACGGTTGCTGGTGAAGCCCTGAAAAAGAGAGACAATGGCTGATTAACAGCTGCCACAGAGGCTGCAGATCAGACCCTCCCTCTCTCTCTGGGCCTCTCTCTGAGCCTGATCCACAGCCCCCTTGGCAGTCAGTGCTGAGTCAGCACAGCAATCCAGCTCCGACTGCAGGACTGACTTCCAGTGTTCGGCCGAGCCTTTGGTTGGTCGTTATGGACTCTGGGGTTTTATATATTAGGATATATTTCAGAGAGGAAGGGAGAGGGAGAGAAAGATAGAAACACCAATGATAAGAGAGAACCATTGCTTGGCTGCCTCCTGCACACCCCCTACTGGGGATCGAACCTGCAACCTGGGCATGTGCCCTGACTGGGAATCGAATCGTGACCTCCTGGTTCATAGGTCTCCGCTCAACCACTGAGCCACACTGGCTGAGCTGAGGAGTTTACTTTTGGTGAAGTTTAAAAAGGGTGGACAATTTCAGGAATAATTAGGGCACGTCCCCCCCCTCCCTCCCCTCCCGCCCCCTTCGGGGAAGAAACTGACCTGCATATAGAAGGTGCTGCTACACCTTGTTATGAAATCGCTGGCCAGGTGCTCGGGAGCCCGCTTTGCCGGTAAGTTCCCTGCGGGCGTCCAGCCAGGGCCCCATCGGCTCATTTGAAAACTCTTCTTAGAGACACAGACGGGTGTCAGAGGGGCTGGCAGGCAGGCAGGGTTGACCCCGGCTTTGAAGAGTACCCTTCAGTTATCTGCACTGGTTATTAGGGGCCTCCAGGAACACACTGTGACCTAAGTCTCTGGCTTAACACCATCTCATATGTAGGTTTCAGAGTTCTCTCCTCCTACTCTTCCCCTCCACATACCGCACTGGCATCCGGACAGAAGTCTAAAAGTGACAGGAAGCCACACATGGCAAAGTCCCTCAGCTCTAGTTTTCGTGAACTAGTTTTCACTAGGAGAAAAAAATCCAACGAAAGACTGAGGTTAGCCCAGCCGGTGTGGCCCAGTGGTGGATCAGCAACCTATGAACCAGGAAGTCATAGTCAGGGCACATGCTGGGTTGCCGGCTCCATCCCCAGTAGGGGGCGTGCAAGAGGCAGCCGATGAATGATTCTCTCTCATCACTGATGTTTCTGTTTCTCCCTCTCCCTTCTTCTCTGAAATCAATACAAACATTAAAAAAAGAAAGAAAGGAAGGAAGGAAGGAAGGAAGGAAGGAAGGAAGGAAGACAGACAGACAGACAGACAGAAAGAAAGAAAGAAAGAAAGAAAGAAAGAAAGAAAGAAAGGAAGACTGATGTTGGAGCAGGAAGGATGGTGTGAGTGGGTGGTTAGGCCAAAGTTCATTCAAATTTTCTGGGGTCCCAGAGCTTATTAAAAATGCAGCTTCTTGCCGAAACCAGTTTGGCTCAATGGATAGAGCGTCTGCTTGGGGACTGAAAGGTCCCGGGTTCGATTCTGGTCAAGGGCATGTACCTTGGTTGCGGGCACATCCCCTGTAGGGGGTGTGCAAGAGGCAGCTGATCGATGACTCTCTCTCATCGATGTTTCTAACTCTGTATCTCTCTCCCCTCCTCTCTGTACAAAATCAATAAAAATATATATAAAAAAAAAAATGCAGCTTCTTGCCGAAACCGGTTTGGCTCAGTGAATAGAGTGTTGGCTTGTGGACGGAAGGGTCCCAGGTTCGATTCTTGCCAGGGGCATGTACCTTGGTTGCCGGCACATCCCCGGTAGGGGGTGTGCAGGAGGTAGCTGATCGGTGTTTCTCTCTCATCAATGCTTCTAGCTCTCTGTCCCTCTCCCTTCCTCTCTGTAAAAATCAATAAAATATATTTAAAATAAAATAAAATAAAATAAAATAAAATAAAATGCAGTTTCTTGGCCCACATCCTAGAACTAAGGAGTCAGAATCATTGGAGGGAAGCTGAGGGGTCAACCTGCCTGTGATCTAACTTCAAAGACCATAATCCGGGCCCCTGGGGCCATCGGTGCAGCCCAGCACATCTGCCGACCCCACATATTTCATTTGTCTCCCCTGTATTTCATCTCTCCTTTCCTCACTCTTGTCTTTCCTCTCCATAGTCACTCAGCATCAGTCATGCTGGAGGTGACAGTTCCGGGCAGTCTTCTACTTTCCAGGAACAGGTTTTTCCCACTTCTTTTTCAAAACAGGGTTTAGGAACTCTGTTCCTGGAGAGGACGTGAGGGCCGAGAAGAAATGGGAAAGCAGCCTTCTGAGCACCGGAAGTGTCTAATGTGTGTGACACAAAAGTGGGGCTTGGGCGGCGAATGAGAAACCACTCAGTACAGACCACTTCCCTCATGGGGCCATTAAAATGACTTCCTTGCCGAAACCGGTTTGGCTCAGTGGGAGAGCACTGGTCTGCGGACTGAAAGGTCCCAGGTTCGATTCCGGTCAAGGGCATGTACCTTGGTTGCGGGCACATCCCCCAGTGAGGGATGTGCAAGAGGCAGCTGGTCGATGTTTCTCTATCATCGATGTTTCTAACTCTCTGTCCCTCTCAATTCCTCTCTGTGTAAAATCAATAAAATATATTTTAAAAAAAAAATGACTTCCTTTCCCGGGCGGTCATTCTGGTTCATCACAAACCAGAGAACACCACTTCCTGGGCTCTCTCCCCGCTGCCAGCGGGCCAGGCCGACCTTCCTTTTGGGCCTCCGACAGACGGGAATGAGCTCCTTAGCTCACACGGCCATTTCGGTATGAAAACGGTTATTGTCTCAAAGTATTTCAAACCTAACGTGTCAGCTGGCTATAGAACTAGAACTTAACACCCTCTTTCTCTGTGACGCGTCCCCATGTGATGGTGGACACAGGGCAGAACTTGGAGGCATACATCCACTCACATGCCCACACCTTGAAAAAAAAAAAACCCACCTGCAGTAAATAAATTTTAAGAAATGCAGACTTTAATAAGTGAAAAAGGCAGGCCAGTGGTTGCCTGGGGTGGAGATTGGAGAGGTGTGGGAGAGAGGGATGGCAAAGGGGCCGATAGTTCGATGGTGGTGATGGGTCAGTGCCAAGAGTGTGTACACATGTCAAACTATCCAATTGTATAGCTTGGATATGCAAAGCTTACTGTAATTTAGTTACACCCCAATAAAGCTTTTTAAATAAGCCTGAAATGACTTAAAAGGTTTCTAGCAATGGCATTATTTCCCTACGAAATAACTAAGTGAGGATAATTAAGGGGAGTTGGTGCCTAAGGTTGAAAAAGTAGTAATTTTAGCATTATTTTTTTTCCACAGTACTGTATTAAGTTGCTGCATACCCTATTAACTAAAGGAATAGAGTTACAGCTGCAATTGTAGATGTAATTGCCCTAATGTATTATATGTAGAAGGAAAGCATGATAGAAAATAGATATTTTGCAGAAAATAGACAATTTTGTTTTATGTTTTTTTCATACCCACCTGGAAATACTGAGGATATCCTCCTATTTAATAAAAGGATAATATGCAAATTGACCATCACTCCAACACACCAGAGGGACACAAGATGTGGACACAAGATGGCCGTCACAAGATGGCCAGCAGAGGAGGACAGTTGTGGGCAATTAGGCCAGCAAAGGAGGGCAATTAGGGGCAATCAGGCAGGCAGGCAGGCAAGCAGTTGGGAGCCAGTTATCCTGTATTGTGAGAGGAATGTCCCAGATTGGAGAGGGTGCAGGTCTGGCTGAGGGACACATACATCACCTCCCTCAGCACCCCCTCCACCCTGTGCACAAATTTCATGCACCAGGCCTAGTTAATAATATGTAATTATGGAGTAATTAAAGGTCTGGTGCATGAAAATCCGTGCAGTGGAAGGGGGAATCCTTCAGCCCAGCCTGCCCCCCCTCACAGTCTGGGAGCCCTTAGGGGCAGGAGGTGACTCGGTGATTAGGGGAAGGTGACGCCCCATCATACCTCTGCTGCTGCCACTGCCGGCAATGCAAGCCTCAGCTGGCCCTGGTTACCTGAGCCTCAGGCAGCCCTGGGTGGCTAGGGGGTTAAGAGTTGGTTCAGCTGCACCATGCATCTGCATTCCTCCTTCCCCTGGTGAGGCTGAAAGGACTGGGGGACTCCAGCAGGGGTGAGGGGACTGGGTGCCGCCATCTTGTGGCTAAGGGCACTGCCATATTTTTTTTCATGGTGTGACAACTTGCATATTCCCTCTTTATTAGATAGGATTTTTAATCCATGAGCATTTACTAGTGTTCCACAGGGGGCTACATGCAGTGGTTCTGATATTGATATTTCACCCTGTAACTGCACACAGTTGCTGAATGTTACAATCACTCCATGGCACAGGTCAAAAGAATGGACCTGTGTATGCCTGCCCCTCACTAAGTTAGGGCCAGAAGAAAAAAGAAAATCAATCAACTCATAGTTGTTAGGAAAACAAAGGGTGCATCCGACTCACAGGTAACTGCCACCTGTAAGCTGCCCTAATCATAGGGCTTCATTGGCTTAAGATGTTGGGTGTTCTGGTTATCACAGCACTTTTTAAAGAATTAATTCTTCTTCAGTTCTCATTTTGGAAGAATTAGAACTAGCCCTTTCTTAAATGATTTATCATTTTCTGTAATAGACAAGGCCTTAAAATTCCGTCACAAGTGTATATTCTTACAATTATGTATTAAACAAAGTCAGGTTTAACAGAGAGATTCATACAATGTACAGTTTAAATGTATCACTTATACAAAAATAAATTAAATTAAAATGTATAGGATCTAATCCTGGTTTGATTATTCTAAACGAATGGGAAGGCTTTTGGAATAAACACGCTAAGAAATCCAAAGGAAAGCACTTTAGTCTTAGCTCCCATGACAGTTTTTCCATCTTTCCCCCCCAAAGAACATTTCCAGAGCACAAAATAGATTCATAATTGTTTAATTAGATACATTTTATACATCCTGACATAATGGCTCCCATAGAAATAGACCAGTATTTTGTACACAAACGTTATTTACTGTGCCACATTCACCATGGACCACTTGAGCTGAGTGCAAACATGTGTACACCCTCTGGTGTGCGCGGAGCTCTGCTCCCACTGACACGTCGTTATCTAGGCTGACAGAGAACAAGATTAGACAAGATGGATAATTAAAACCCACAGGGTAATAACAAAAACGTACATTAGATTATGATGATCAACACTTCTCCAGCCACGGCTGTAACCAGAACCAAGCAAAAGAAGTTTTATCAGTTTCCCCTTTGAACCTGCCCCCCCCTCCCCCCCCCAGTACTCCATAGGATGGGATCTGATGAGTGACTGGAAGGCATGGGGTCAGAATAATGAGGAGCAAGGGTTTGGAAAATGACAACTTGGCATCTCTCATATTCAAAAAAATTCCATTTGTTTATCTTACTCTGAAAATACATTTGGTAAGTGTGTGTATGTGTTTTTTTTGGTCACATATAATTGATATAATTTATTACATATAATTGATATGTAATATGAAAAGGTATCTCATGTGAGTTTTATCTTTGCAATTGCCTGGAAAGTATGGGGTATTTTATTTTATTTTTCATTAAAAAATTTTTTTTGGTTAATCCTCACCTGATATTTTTCCATTGACTTTTTAGAGAGAATGGAAAGGAGAGGGAGAGACAGAGAGAACATTGATGCGAGAGACACATCAATGGGAGGGTTTTAGAGTAATCATGAGATATGACTTTAAAAAAACACAATAAAGTAACAGCAAAGTCTGAGGGTAAATTGCACCCTGGTGGCAGCACACAGAAGCAGAATAATTGGTGTCTGTCTGGGCTGGTGTGTGCCATCGATCTGTGCAGTCTGGTCACACCACAGGAACATCGTCCCTTCGTCCTGCTTTCCTTAATGAGCAGCTCAGACGGGAAGGAGTTGAGGAATACCTCACAGGGGAGGTACAAAGGAACATTGAGTCCTCCTCTATCCTCTGTCGTTTTAGGGGGAAACAAATAAAAGCACCCTGAAAATAAAAAGAATTACGTAAAATTCTAAAAAATAAATCAGGTTTTATCAAGAGGGACCTAATATTTGTTCTATCCTTTTGCTGTTTAGTCTCAAAATTTACAGATGAAAATTCTAACTAGAAATAAGTCTCCCAATTCTATAAACTGCTCTGTCAAGCAGAAGTAAAAATGAAATGAGGGATAATACCATTACATTCTGAATACTTGAGCGGGAGGCTTATGAAGCTGGTAATATGTGAGTATTACCTCAACTTTAATGGACCACTTGTATTGGAAGTCTAATCAAGAAGCCCGAGTCTCGAGAAATTCTAAATCTGGGACATTATAAGATGTGATTTCAATGGATTTGCCACTCTTTCTCATTCTCAGCTTAAAATCCTAATCAGAGTTTCAGGTGAGCTTTGACCAACATTCACCTCCTGATTTGTGGCTGGAACTTATTAACCAGTACAGGTCCTCTCTATTAGTTATTCTTTTTCTCAATTACAACCCAAACAGTAGTTGCTTCCTTGATGGGTGCTGATCCTCTCCCAGCTGTCTCACTGATGATATATCCATTGGTGACTGATGGATAGAGGACTCAATGTATCTTTATACCTCCCCCTTCTGACTTACCTACTGTAACACCTCTGCTTTGTAAAACTCCGCCTTATCTTAAGGTGAAACAGTTTGAGGCTGTTCACGGAAACACTAGTTAAGTACAGACCGGAACCACTTCACACCGTACTTAAAGCTTTACCAATTGGGGGACAGCACACTTTTAGGAGGAAGAGATAGAATTTTAATTCTAATGAAAATTATAGGCATGTCTCTCAAGATGCAGATAACAGGAAGTTGAGAAAAGCAATCAATAACAAGGGAAAATCTTTACTACCTCCAAGCAAACAACCTATAGATTTAAAATGGGATGCAACGGCATTGAGAAACCGAGGGTGGGGGTTGCTTAAGTGGAACACTTAGATCTGGCAATGGAATTTACTGGAGAATGAAATTTCCTTCTAAAGCGATGCACACTGCACACATGATGCAGGGTCCAGATCAAAGGAGGGATGTTTTAAATCTTGCTCCACATAGTAGAAACTTCAGAGCTCGCCTTATGCTCTCATAAGCAGTTCAGATTTGATAGAGGATTAGCCGTTATTAGGAAAACTTTGCTGAGAAATAATAACTAAAATCAACACCTTTTAACAAAATGTAAAACGCCAGTAACCTCATTGCCAGAGCTTAAAATAACACTTAAAACCTCATGGTCAGAATCTAGAATAAAAACCTAACTAGGAGTTAACTATATGTCATTTAATAACTAATCTCTAGGGAGATTAAAAAAATACATTTTTATAGTCACCTACATGCAGAAACTCAGGAATATGGTTGCAAGTTTCCTACAAAAGCCTCTGAATCCTGAGGGAAAGAACCAATCCTGAAGTATTCAAAACTCATTTCTGTCCCCTCCGTTTCGTTGGAACGTATAAACTCCTTAGCTTAAGTTCCGTATCTCTGCCAACAGCAAGGGAACTGCTTAAGATATGGTCATGTACCAGACAGAACCACTTGATGAGAATGGTAAAATAGGATTTGCATAGAACTCATTTAGACAATGCAAATAAGCTACTAGCTTCCTTGCTTCTGCTCCCAGTGGGATTCACACTGGTGCCACTGGGCTGGGCATAGGACAGTAATGCATATTATTATTACATTGTGCTTCACTCAGAGACACTTACACTTCTAGTGCCCCTCAGCCCAACCAGAACTGCCATCTGCTTATTGTTATTGCTTTCCAAGGCTTTAACACGGATGCCAAGCGTCCAAATCCAACACAGATATTGCCAGGAATAGGACACACCGTGAGGCGAGGTGCACGAGGGACGGTTCGTTATCTGGACGCGGGACGGGAGCTTGACAAGCGATGTGAACACAGAAATGGACCTGGCGCACCGCTTCCTCCTTGCCCTGCAGACACCCTACACAGTCACCGACACATCCAAGTAAAGCACATGTTGTTTCCTTTTTTTCCATCCACTTCAGTGACACTCCTGATGGTCCTGGTCCCAGAAAGTGAATCATGCCATGATACAAAAGGTCCGCCCTCCACATAAACCTATGAGCACACGTTAAAAAAAAAAAAAAAAAGATTTATTGTACATCTTTGCGTTTTTTTTAAGGCATGAACAATGGCGTACAGAGAGGACAGGTTCTGAGAAGCATCACGTCTCCATGGACAAGGCCCGCACGGGCACACCACATCCACGACACACTCCAGGCTGAGCCCAGGGGCTCCTCTGGGGAGGGAACGGCGCCTCCCGAAAACAAGGACCCAACGCACGGTTTATGTCACGTTGCTTTAAACTCTCCGCATCAGCTGTAAGCACCGGTTACAGTGTGTGTGTCTCTATAAACTCGTTAGCCTTTGGACTGTTACATTCTGCTCCTTTAAATCTTCTTCCCGAGGAGGGGGTGGATTTTATTTTTATTTTTTAATTTTTTTTTTTTTTTTTTTTTTAAGGAATATGGTTGCAGCAAAACAGAAAGGATCCAAACGTGGTCAGGGGCCTTGTCTAATGCACTTCTGAAAGTCCGTTAGAAAGGCGAATCGAAAAGCAAATGGCCGGCCCTCCGTCGGCCCAGAAACCACGCAGAGCTCTAAGGAACACAATTGTGCATAGTTAGCAATTCATTCGGAGCGTGATGTGTTGGCCAGCTCTACATCCCCGGGTTACCAGAGAACAGGGCTGTCTACTTTGCTAAACCCAGGGTCCTTTCGCAGCTCCCAGTAGGTGTCGTTGGAAACCCAGGCTTCTCTTTGATTGGCATCAATCACTTTCCTGTGAAAACAGAAAAAATCAACAACATTTAGACACAAATCACACCAAGGTGACCAGATGGTTGGCCCCTGCCCTTCAGATAAAGACGATGAAGCAGCCCGTGGTAACCATTCACAGTTCTTGGTAAGCCAGTTAGAGTCCTATCTGCTTACTGATGACTTGACTATTTTGGACCAGAAATGAATTATTCTTTTTTTTTTTTTTTTTTTTTAATATATATATTTTATTGATTTTTTTACAGAGAGGAAGGGAGAGAGATAGAGAGCTAGAAACATCAACGAGAGAGAAACATCGACCAGCTGCCTCCTGCACACCCCCTACCGGGGATGTGCCCGCAACCAATGTACATGCCCTTGACTGGAATCGAACCCGGGGCCTTTCAGTCCGCAGACCGACGCTCTACCGCTGAACCAAACTGGATTCAGCTATTCTTGTTGTTAAACATTTGAAATGGAGGTGGGTAGGGTCCTTGGGATTGGGGCTGAGGGCAGGAAAAAAAATCCCCTCCAGGCAGAGCTAGAAAGTGAAGTGCCCCAAGCAAAGTGTGTGCAATAGGTAACTAGAGCTTCAGCCTCAGACCCACAGGTAAGGCTGTGCCTCACTCAGGGGAAGGGAGGAAGGGGGGTGGGGGCAGGGGCGGGGGGGAGAGAACCAACCTCAGCAGCTAAGCTCTCTGCAGGGCCTGACCTCTAAGGGGGAGGCTGTATTCCTCCCCAGGGCAGTCAGGAGGCAGCTGCTATCAGGGAGATGAGACTATTCTGAGCTGATCTGTCCTGGCTCCGGAGGGCAGCAGATGGGCCTGGAAACTACAGTTTAATCTGTGAAGTAGATAGAGTCCTGCAAATAATCCTGAAATAATCACCCTGGATCACGCCACAGAGGGACCATATCTTAATGGACAGAAGCTCCCCGTGCCAGAAATAAAATTAAAGAGGAATGCAGCCAGGATGACCTTGTGGGCGGAGGGGTTCCATCCTGTCTCTGAGTGAAGGAGTGGGAACACATTTCCACCACCTGAAAGGCTGGAGCTGAAGGTCAAAGAACGTTCTGGGCTGGGAGAGACCCTTCCTCCCTCATGAACAAACAGAAAAGAGCTGTGGAGAAAAATTACTTTCGTAGAGACAGATAGAAACATTAATGATGAGAGAATCATTGATTTGCTGCCTCCTACACACACCTCACACTGGGGATCAAGCCCACAACCTGGGCACGTGCCCTGACAGGGAATCGAACCGGTGACCTGTTGGTTCCTGGGTCGCTGTTCATCTGCTGAGCCACCCCCCGCTGGGCAAAAAAATGATTTTTATGCTTACAAAAGGTTTTCCTAAGTGCACAATCTGGTCCAGAATTTTCACTGCCAAGGCCATTTACTGAAATCAGTTTAATTTTTCTTTTTTTTTTTTTCTTTCAATTTTTTTTTTTTATTGATTAAGGCGTTTTAATTTTTCCACCTTTCGGTTCCTTGGACATTAAACTATCCTTCATTGTCTCTGGCTGGAGTTTCACATTGCTTATGGAAACCATTTGCACAACGTGGACTTGTGAGGCGCATGAATTGACTTACTTAAAAAATTTTGGTACATGTTCAAGGTTGTTTTCTTCCATGTAGCGCCTTCGGGATCTCTGGAGTTCCTCCACCCTCTGCTTCTCGGCTGCTGCAGCTTCTAGGTTTCCTTCTTCCAAAAATCTAAGCAGAGAGCAGTTCATCTTTTAATAGAGCATCCCCTTTCCCGATAAAATAAATGATCTCATTTGCGTAACATTACATTCTGGTTCCTGGGAACAGTGACACTGGAATACAACATCCCCTTGCCCTGCTCCAGCCCACACTGCCCCGGCCTGCCACTAGGGGGCACACTTCCTGTGTGTGTGGATGGAATAGCACATGGCCGCACCCTGGCAGGAGGGAGAGGGGAGTGGCGTGGGCGTGAAGACTTCTCTGTGCTCCACAGGGTTCTACAGCCTGAGGTCTCCACGAGCTAGAACAGGGTGGAGCCCCAGCGGGTGCGCCTTTCCCATATAAACAAAAAGCACTTGTGAAAGGCCACAGGATGGCGGGAAGACACTGGCTGCTCCCCATCTACTTTTAGAACAGATTGAGAAGGAAGGAGTTTTCTCCTGTTTTATGGGAAGAGGGTAAAACTGATGAAAAAGAAAAGGTAACAGTTGGGGGAGATTACAAAAGGCCACAGAAAGGAAATGCATTGTAAATGAAATTCAGAAAGGAAGTACGGAAATAGAATTGAGAAAGAAAGAGCAGACCCGGTGGTGATTTGCAAATATTTAAATTCCAAAATGAGAGCAAAGACCAGGGATACAGTATTATGATACACATCATAGAGGATGCTTATATGTGAATGTCAAACAGTGAGACTGCATGCTCTGGATTGGGGAGGGATGGGAGGGAAGAAGAAGGAATACAGGAGACCTGAGTAGCAGAACATATCAATCCTGGGAATATTTTGGCGGAAGACAATAAAAACCACAAATACACCAAAAATAGAAAACGATCTTGGATGGACTTTGTATGACAAGGATTTGGAAAAAAGTAAAATTAATTCTGTAAGAATGAGCAACACGAGTACAGAACTATGTAAAAATAATAAAACATACTCGTATGAATCAGAAGGTATTAAAGGTACTGTATTTTGAGTACATCTCACACCTTTGAGATCCAAACCATGTTGGGCAAACTCCAGACTTTGATTAAAAGCGTTTGTATAATAGGTACCTCTGTAACTTACTATCTCATTCTTCAGTATAAAAGACACCCCATACTTCAGAGCAATAGAAGTACAAAGGTACAAACCCTGGGTGAGGAGTGATTCTATATTTAGCAGAGAGAGAGAGAACATTCATGAATTTGCAGGCTTTTGGTAAATTTGGGGGTTAGAGGGGAAACTTTTGTTGAGCTAATCTTCTGATCACCCTATGAAGGCTGCTTTACCCAGGGTGGGAAACACAAACATTTCTGAATAAATAAGGGAATGAACAGATGATTCAACAAAGAAATAAGTGATGGTGGTGCAAGTAAGTCTCGATGACACGTGAGGTACCTGCCATGATCTAGTGTCCATTTTTAATGCCACTGCTACGCTCACCTCTGATCTGGCCGGAACCGGGCGTCTGTCGGCGGGAGGAGGTCCTTCAGGACAGGGTCTAACTCGTTGAGCTCAATAGCAAACCTGGTGAAGCCGTAGTAGAGCTCATAGTTGGTTGGCAAGGAACCTGGAATATGAGGTCAACGAACCATCGTGAGAGGCAAAGAGGTTTAAGACACTTAACCCTGGTGTTTAATCCCAGACCATTAGCAAATTTGTAGTCATAAACTAGTAGATGATAATTTTTTTCAGGTTATATTTTGTCAGATGGGAAACTTTATGTTGATGACCAGTACTGACAGATTCGTATAGTATTTAATAGACTCTAGCCTTTAAAATAAAACTCTGCACATATAATATATAGTAGTTTTCACTAGCTAAGCTACACCATAATTTCTCTCTCAAATACTCAGCGAGGTAACTAAATGCCAGGATGATTAGCTGTGAACATTGAGATTTCACCAGAAACGCTTTACTTCCTTTTACAAAAGAAAAAGATGCACATCTAACTAATATTTATTGACCTTTTTAAACCAAACTCAAAGGCAGAATCTTTGTACGTGTTGCTTGTTGAAGGATTCCAAGCGCCTGGAGCAGGGCCTGAAGCACCATCAGTACTTAATCAATCACTTCGGAATGAACCGCCCACTCACTTGCAGGAATGTGACATACACTTGGCGGTCACTTAGGGAACTAACAGCTAACATTAAGGTTAGGGCTGAACTGCCAACACGGCGATGGAGATGTTTGTCAGATGGGACTTGTCCCATTTATCCTTGATATTCAATGACATGCTAGTGTATTATCAGAACCTGAGGTGTTTTATTACATGTCAGCATACTGCAGCTTTTTAAAAAAAAATATTTTATTGACTTTTTACAGAGAGGAAGGGAGAGAGATAGACAGTTCGAAACATCGATCAGCTGTCTCTTGCACACCCTCCACTAGGGATGTGCCCACAACCAAGGTACATGCCCTTGACCTGAATCGAACCTGGGACCCTTCAGTCCGCAGGCCGACGCTCTATCCACAGAGCCAAACCTTTTTTAGTAACGCATTATCAAATGTTGGGGCTTATATAATGCACATGTTAAATATAAACAGAACTACATTTGCCTTAGCATCTAGGTTTTTAACCTCGTTATTAAAGAAAACATAGGTGGGCCACATGGGGCGACCTGACATTCCCTCCTGTCCCTTCTCAGGTGCCTCCTGAGGCAGGTCCCTCCTGGGGCCTCACCTGGCCTCCAGACGCACTTTGCAGAGGGGGCCACTCCGCAGTAGAGTCCCTCATGCCATTTCCCGAACAGCCGGTGCACCACCTTCCCCTCCTGATCCATCACCACCCCCTGGACTTCATTCACGTTGGAATTCCAGTAATTCACCTGGAGAAAGCAAACCCAGTGAAAGCACTGATCTCTCCCACAACACCGATCCCTGTGATTCCCATGTGAAAGATTTTCTTTCTTTTTTAATATATTTTATTGATTTTTTTACAGAGAGGAAGGAAGAGGGATAGAGAGCCAGAAACAGCAATGAGAGAGAAATGTTGATTAGCTGCCTCCTGCACACCCCATACTGGGGATGTGCCCACAACCAAGGTACATGCCCTTGACCGGAATCAAACCTGGGACCCTTCAGTCCGCAGACCGACGCTCTATCCGCTGAGCCAAATCGGTTTCGGCTGGAAGATTTTCTTAACCTTAAAGTGTCTTATTCAAACCATTTCCAGAAGTGATCTATCGCACGGCAGTATGACACAGAGAAAGCTCAGCTTCTCTCTCAACTGAACATTAATTTATAGGTTGGGCATTTCTTCCTCAGTTCCTCCTGTCTCGAACTGTCCTTCTGCTGGTGGATTTGAATGATTTTCAATCGGTAATGCTAGGGAAGTAGTTTGTGAAATACTGTTCACGTCGCTGTAAATGGCTAAATTTCATCGTGAGGACCCTGCTCTGGCTCTCTCCCAGCCAAGCTCCTCCCCAAAAAGGTGTGAAGTCGGTGGGAATTTACCGGCAACATCCCATGGCCCTCGCTCTAGATCAGGCCCCAAGTATGCAGAGCCCTACACTTCGCCATCCACATGGCTCGAAGCCTATCCACAGCTGCACAAGCCTTTGCTTTGGAGTCACCCGCAGAAGGGCAGACCAGTCTACAGTGTGTGAATCTCTAGGCCTGAGGTGGCTGTTTGAGGGGGTGGGGACAGAGCAAGGATGTGGGGCTGGATCACCTATGTGTGTGTGAGGCCCTGCAGCGCAGGACAGAGCTGTGGGGGAGGGGGAGCAGAAGGGCGGGGGGGCCAGTACTGGCTCTCTGTTTGGCTCGAGTTCCGAAGTGTTGGACCTGGCCTGGCAGGCTTTGCTATGAAAGGTATATATTTTTCAGGATTAAAAAAAATAATAATAATAGATCATGTTATATTTGACAGGTTGTAGGTTTGATTTACATATTTCAAATATTTACCCATATGGCATAGGGATTTCATTTGGATTCTTGCCCTGAGCTTTGAATATAGCAGGGCAGACCTAGACCAAAGTTTCTCACAGCCTACCAAATTGAATGCATACATTTACTGTCATCACTCATCAGAGCAAATAACAACCCTGGCTCTTCAGTTCTGAGCCACCTAATAAACCTACTTAAAAAGAGGGGGGGCGGGGGGGAGGAACATGTTAAGCTAAAATGAATATATTCCATTAAAGTGAACACGACCAGAAGAGAAAATTTGAGTATTAAGGCTCCAATTATGTTCCCTGTTTCTAGAATGAGATTGGGACTAGAACAGAAAAGGGTGGTGGAGTTTCTGGACCCAGATGGAGTCTATAGCACCCCTACACAAGCTCAGTGATGACCCCGTGTTCCACGTCTGAGCAGAGACCAGGGAAATGGTGCTCTGCAGGAACCTCCATCCCAAACATCCTTTTTTGTTTGTTAATCCTCACTTGAGGATATTTTTCTTTAAAAAAATACTTTTATTGGTTTTAGAGAGGAAGGGAGAGGAAGAGAGAGATAGAAACATCAATGATGAGAGAGAGAAACATTGATTGGCTGCCTCCTGCACTGAGAATTGAGCCCACAACTTGGGCCTATGCCCTGACTGGGAATCGAACTGTGACCTCCTGGTTCATAGGTCGATGCTCAACCACTGAGCCACACCGGCCAGACTGGAGAATGTTTTCCCATTGATTTTTAGAGCTAGTGGAAAGGAGGTAGGGAGACAGGGAGAGAGAAACATCAATGTGAAAGAAACATACCAATTGGTTGACGTTTGTGCACACCCTGAGCAGTGTCTCGGATCAAGCCTGCAACTGAGGTATGTGCCTTTGACCGGGATTGAACCTAGGACCCTTCTGACTATCTACTGAGCCAAATTGGCTAGGGCCCAGACATCCTCTCTTGTAAATAAAGGTAATGTTTTTTCTTGAACTCATCTGTATTATAATAGTGGCAGAGTTGGGCAAGAGTATTGTGACTGGAAGCTACCATCTATATGCATTCTCAGAAAAAGACAACTGCAGTATAATTAGGTCCCTAAAATAGATCACTTGAATATGTTGTAATCAAGCAGGAATGAAAATAGGAATGTAAACCAGAGAACTTGTTATAGGCAAAAATAGGAATAGAAATAGAAGCCAGAAGACTTATTATAGGCAAGAAGTGTTTTCTGGAATTTTACTGAATGAACTGCTGATGGGTTGCTAAGAAAGAAATTCTTTAAGAAGAATTTTTTCCCCCCCTGTCTTGAGATGGTGCCTTTTTTGGCCTCCACACACTCGGAAGTCTGCCCACCTTGAGGAAAGCCATCAGTTGGTTTTGGTTCTGCTTTCCTACCTGAAATGTTCTTAAGTATCAATGATACAGGACAGACCTTACTTGAGGCTGTTGAATGTAATTGGTTTATTTCCTCCTCAGAGGAAGAATATCATGTTACCTTTCTTTACTGTGAAAGTCATTATTTACCTTGACAAATGTGAGTTTGCAAATGCAAACACTGCTTTTGGTATTTCTAATGGTTACTTCTCCATAATGCTCTATCCACCTCCGCCCACTGAGAATGTTGTGTATGCACGTGGTGACTTTATTCCACACATAGCAATCTCCATACCTGGCAAAGAATACAACAATGATAAAAAAACAATGAAATCACACATATATATTATTATTTTTACTAATGAGAATATCCTTTGGCCAAAGCCTTCCTTTCCCTCATTTTGTTTTCATTTCTTTGTTGAACTCTTCTATGTGTTCAAGGACATTTACGACATGATTCGTTCACTTAAGGAACAAGTCAGTGCTTTTTATGGGCCAGGTGCTAACCTACGAAGGTGAATAGGGCCAGTTTTTGCTCTCCTGGAGCCAACAGTGTTATGGGGCAGATGGATGTGCCAGCAAATACTTGTAACAAGAGATGATGAGGAAGTAACATGAGTGCACAGAAGTGGGAGACCGTAGTCCTTAGATCTGTCTGTAATGTGGGCTGAGTGTCAAGAAAGGCTTGCTAGAAGAGGCTGGGGAAAAGCATCAGAAGTCAAAAGAGCAGGGCACACCTGGGGCCTGAAAGTGGTGTGCTACAGTGAGTATGTGTGGTGGGAGGCTAGGGAGAAAGGTGTTGTGTGCAGAGCAGGGAAACCTTCAAGACCCCTCCCATGCAGGCAATGGCCACTGTGGAAGGATTGTAGGCAACAGAGAAGCAGACAGGGCATGCATTTAAGAAAGATTACTCTGAGGACATTGTTTCCGTTTCTAAGTGAACATCAAAGCTGCAAATGGTTCTTTGGGAAAAGACTGATGTGCATAATAACTAAGGCAGCATGAATGTAATGCAAACTCCAGGGAGTAAGGTTACAGATTTTCTGCCAAGGAGCAAGGTGGCATAGCTTCAAGTCACACTTGCATGTTATGTATATTTACAAATAAAATGTCACTTCAAAATTTAAAAATGTTTTTAAGTTTCTAAAAAAAAAAATGAATTGGTATGATGTAGGAACTATATACCACTGAGAAAATTCTTCCTTCCTCATGAGTTTGCAAATATTGAAAGTTTATTTTGTGGTCCTGGGAATTCCTCTTTCCCTACCTTCCTCCATATCCAATTAATCAGCAAATTCTGTCATTCAAATAGACAAAAACCAAACCAAACCAACCAAATGAAGACGTGAATGAAACTCATCAAGCCTTTGGCTTTAATGAAAACTTCAATTAATTTGAAAAAAAAAAAACACACAAAAAAAACCCTTCAATTAATTTGAAAATATTTAAAGGTTGGGATTTTACACCTGGAAGCCCACTTGTCAGATGTGCTAAAAAGGCTATATTCTAAGGATTCTATTACTCTTCCTTAATAAAACTACTTCAAAATTAAAAATAGTCCCTGAATATTATTGAAGATTAACTCAAAATGAAATTATAAATTATATAAGAAGAAATGGATCAGAATGAGACTCTTTCATATAAAATGCAAACTAAAATGGTGACGGGGACAGGTAGGTACCTGGTGTTGACTGATGACTGAAGGACATGAAAAAATAAATAGGAAGCTTAGTGCATATGGTAAAGTTCTTCCTTGTTTTTGTGGGAGAACATTCTCAGCACTTCGGTAAAACTAACAGATGCTTTGGCCATACAGGGAAACAGACCCTGGTGCCTTCTAGGGTTCAAACACCCATTTCTGATTTTGAAAAGCCGGTAAGAGACCAAAAGGATGAAGAGAGAAACCTACTTTGGAAGCATGACATTCAGCGTTCCCACAGGCAGGATTTCCATCGACTTCCCCCAGAACTTGTTCTTCCATCTGATATCTAAATGACACAGGCAGAAAACAAAAAATATATGTTCTATAGCTAATGATTTATTCTATGAAAACTAAATTTTGTATTAGACTTAACATTTCACAAAGAGCTTTTGTAATTACAATTAAATATATATATATATATATATATATATATATATATATATATATATATGTTTTTATTGATTTCAGAGAGGAAGAGAGATGGAGAGAGAGATAGAAACATCAATGATGAGAGGAAATCATTGATTGGCTGCCTCCTGTGTGCCCCCAACTGGGGATCAAACTTGCAACCCAGGCATGTGCCTTTGACTGGAATTGAACCCGGGACCCGCATGTCAACGCTCTGTCCACTGACCAAACCAGCTAGGACTGATTCTATATTGTTGATTTAACATGACAAATGCCCAAAGATGGCCCAAAGTGAAAAAATTAACTGTGAACAAAAAAAATTCTACTATCTATATTTCTTCACAATACATGTTTCATATTTGTTTTCAACTAACAAAACTGGGGAAAGCCTGGAATAATACATGTGTATATATGTGCACATTCATATGTGTATGTATACTTTACTATGCCTTATAATCTAGATAAATATTGTTATAAGTTTTAACTATGTAGTGGAAATAGTTTATATAGAGGCAAGTGAGTTTATAGCAAAATTAATGGCAGTATGGATTTACATGCACATTTATTTGAAGAGTTATATGATTTGGGAGACCATTACACAAATAAAAATCTCTAAATACAGATAGAGTAGGTTATGAGAAAGTGAGATTAACTTAATGAATATGTTCCTACACTGGATGAGATATGACTCCAGGGCCAACACTTCATCTCGCATGACAGCTTTATGTTTGCCTTGTGGAAACTCAGGTTTACCTGTGCATTTATAATAACCACCTGGTCCCATTGTGATGAACTGAGGGAGCTTGGTGCTGCCTCCACCAAATTTCTGACTCTATGTTATGACCAAGAAATGATTACTTTTCTTATTTTGCAATAAAGTGTAGTTACAGTGCTCTATCATTCTGAATGTTTTCAGATTGAGGAAGTGTGTATATATGAGAAGCAAATGAAGCATCCTTCCAAACATAAACTATTTATACTTAATATTATGTATTCTTGCTAAAGGGATTTTGAAACATTTTATTTTAGGCAAGTTGGTGACATTCTGGTTGGACAACAGGCGTTGATCCAATAGACTCCAATCTAAACACCTCAATGACTTAAAGACCAGAAATCAGTGCAATATTTATATACTTAGTAGACTGTCACCACATATGATGTGCCACAGAGCCTTCCTTCAGGACTAAGATGTATTTGTACACCTACAGGAAGCAAGAAAATAGCAGATAAAATCTCCATGCTTAAAATATAGACAATGAGGCACCACAAGGTAAAGTGATAGCCCCGAGCTGGCACAGTCAGCTTGGAGCTCTGCTGTCCCTTAGGGCTTGCTTTCTACACAATCTCATCTCCTAGATAACATAGTTTAATATTTAAAACAGGAAATCTAACTTCTTAAACTGAGCCCTGCATCAATTACGAACATTCTCCAAGTTCCAAAGGTAGCAATGTAAACTGAGGTCCAGTTTTGGAGACTAGAAACTGTCTCATTGGACAATCAGTTGGGTGTTTAAGTTGTAATTGAAAAACAAACCTTGCCAAAACACAAAATTCTTGGATTCACAGTGACAGGCAGAAATGGGTGGATGATGGCTAACCTGGTAATTGAAAACAAAACAGAAAATTTTAACATCAGTGTCAAAACTTCAATAAACAGCAACTTTTTTTTTTTTTTTTTTTTTTTTACTATACATATTGGCTTCTGCTAAATAAAAACTACTCAGCTCATCCATCTCTATTAATAATTTTTCCTCAAAATACACAAGTAAATTATTGAACCTTGAACTTTTAAGACTTCGTGTTTAAACACAGAGAACAAATATATTTATAGGGGGCAATTATATAAATAAATTGAGTTGTCCATTAACTAGTATCTTAACCCACCCCAAACAGAGGTTTACAAAATATTTTCATCCTCAAACTGCCCAACTGCCTACACAGAAGCCTCCCTGATGCAGTGGGGCTTACCTGTTCTGAGAAAAAGCGGAATCCCTTGTCCTCTCTAATGCATTCGTAAGTCTCCCCGAGGACAGGGTTGAATGGCTTACTTCCTGCTCTGAAATAGGTAGAGCAATATCCTGAAACTGCAAATGCAGCAATAAGAACCTGTTAAAACATTTAAGAAAGGAAAATAATATAGGAGAGACCACTTCCAGGTCTGTTTGTCCCTTATTCCTCTAGATTTTATATTCCCCACCAATGGGTGCTGACAGCATGGCATCTGCATTTTCCATTATTTGCGCAGACTCTTTATACGCTCATGGGGGAAAACGAAGTTAAACGCCTCTCAAGGGGATCAGCAGGCAATAAAGGCCAAGCATTTTTCATTCAACTGTCCTCCCAATTTCCTGAGCATCACAAGTTCAAAGTTTCTGAAACCCAGTTTACAGGGTCTGCTGTCTGCACAATCTTAGCACCGTGTGCACAAGGGTTGTGGCTGTTGGTGCTTTTCAGAGGGCAGGTCAAGTGTTGGACAGTCACGTGGAACAGAGGCCAGGGCAAAGCACTAACAGGACGTTCCCTTCTCAGACCTAAGTTCCCGAACAAATGGGCTCTCTTGGCATTCAGGGAAAGTTAACAAAGCAAAGCGAGGCATGCCTTCACCCCGTGAGAAGAGTGATTTTTATACCCTAACTCTAGAAACACTCGGGACCAAGCGTAAGTCACGAAGTGTGTATCCTCTAGTGGATTTATGCAAATGGGCCAATTCCTCTCTTACCGATGCAGTGAGAATGTTATGCAGAAACCAACTGTGCCATCACAGTGAACTCTGCCTCAGCCCAGGCCCGGGGTTGACAAATGCCCGCAGAGCACCGCTCTGCTATTTGTTACCATGCGCTCATAGGGGTCGTCGGTCTCCGAAGCCTTGTCCAGAAGCTCACTGTACTCCATTTCCTCGCAGAGATGCTGCAGAGTGTTGAGCGGCTCGTTTAGCTCCACAGGCATAGACACTTTAGACAGGTCTTTACCAATGTTGTTCCTCAAGATATTCCACAGGTTAATGTTACTGGTGTCAGGACACGGAGCTGGCAGGCATGTCCGGCGTCCATTTCGGAAGGCCCCTCCGGTAAGCTCCCCATTCAAGACTGAAATCAGGAGACGAGAATCATGATGAGAGATACTTTGCTTTTCATAAAACCCTAAGGGAAATAATGCTTTCAAATAATTCTGATTCTGATTATTACACTCCCTCAAGAATGAATGGAATTATTTCAATACAAGGTTGCTAATAAAGGCACAAAATATTAGCGTACAGTTTTTCAAACAGGGTGTTAACTATATAAAATATTCAAGAAAAAAGAAGTCAAATTTTTAAAAGTTAAATATATTTAATAAGAAGGATTCCAATGTTTGGTTTAAGCAAGAAATAAAACCCCTTCACAATCATTACCTAACAGATTTTAGAACCATTTACCTTAACAGATTATACAAATACAAAATCTATCAAACTATCAACTATAAAAAGAACAATTAATTTGGGAGAGAGTGATTGTTCACTGAAACACCAGCCTTGTAATTTAGCTTGAAGAGAGAAGAACCTGCAAGCTCAAAGGATGCATACTTTGCCGAGAAATGTTGTCCGCAACACTGGTGTTGTCTTCTGAGATATTATCACTCACATCACTGATGTAAGACTCATCATCTGAAGCCTAGGGAAGGAATAAATATAGAAAGGATCAGGATTCTTGTTCAGTATTGAAAGCTCAGGATTCTTGTTCAGTATTGAAAGCTCAGAAAATCAAACCATTAAACACAGATGTTGCTCAAATGAAAAGCAAAGGTCATAGTGGGAAATGCATTAGACATATGTGCAGTGAACACTTGAGGGTTTTCCATGAATATAGAATGGCTCAAAATAAGTAGCTCCCTGTCTTAGCAGAGGTGGGAGGCTAGTACATAGCCAAAAATATTTCAGTACAAGCAACAAGGATATACAAAAAAGGAGGCCCTATGACTCCCCCTCGACTCTATGAGCCACTGAATTTTAGAGAGAAAGGATGAGGAAGAGAGAAAAAGAGAGAAACACTGATGTGAGAAACATCAATTGGTTGTCTCCCATACATGCCTTGACCAGGGAATTGAACCCACAACTTAGGCTTGTGCCCTGACTGGGAATCGAACCCCAATCTTCTGGTGTATGGGACAATGCTCCAACCCACTGAGTAACCAGGCCAAGGTGACACCACCACCTTGGCTGTACTTCTTGTGCAATAACCTGCTTCATTTCCTCTTCATTTCTGCATTGCCAGTGTCTATGCAAGGGGTCATCGGCCTTCCAGGTGAGTATGCCCAGAACTTTGAAATGGAAATAAGGTCTCTTTCTAAGAGATAAGCTGTAATCATCAGATGATAGGCAGAACCCAGATAATGTAGTGTCCATTTTGACTGTAATTTGATTGAAAAGGATTAAGGACTGGTAAGCAATGGGAGCTCAGAAAAGGAAGAGTCAGAAAAGAAAATGCTAGTAGCATGTCTCCAGAATGGTGGTCCCTGGGGCATAGAGACTGGATCACAGACACAACCCATCCATGTGGCAGCGTGTCCCTCCTTATTAAGGAGATGGAAGGTTGAAGCTATTATATCCTGGCCTTCCTGGTCTCAAGTTCACTCAACTCACTTCTCCTGCTTCCAGTCTTCCCTTGCTCACCAAACAACCTCCTGACTACAATTAGGCTTCCCATGCAGATATGCATACAGGGAAGGAGACTCTAATCAGCAAGCCTGATTATTTTGTCTATCTGATAGCATCAATTATCACTATGAATAATTAAACAAGTACTCCGTTGTAAATGGGAGTCTGTGAATCTGGTAATGCATGACTAGGGACCTGGGAGGTAGGTGCATGGCTTGGTGCACTATCAAATTTAGTGCCTGATAAAAGATTTCTATTTTACCTTTCCTTCATTATAAAAGTGATATATGTGCTCATTATTTCTTTTCCTTTTCCACTTATTTATGTTTCTAAAATCACTGGTAATTACAAACATCCCAAACCAACTACTACTAACTGTCAGAATGTGTACACATATAAAAATATCATTTAGCAACTATTTTTTTATTTTTTAAAAAGCAAAATGCAGTACAGATTTTCAATCTCAAATGATAATATTGCTAATCAACTGTGTGGTAAAACTTTTGGCTGCTGCTCCCTGCCAAAAAAACAAAAACAAAAACAAATCCTTATTTGACAAAATTTCAGTAAAAGAGTACATTTCTGCAACCTGACCAAATAAGAGATTCCTTGTTGCCACAACCTTGTCAAGACTCGTGGGCATGAAAACAATCCAATAAAACTTTTATGATAGTCAGCGGTAACCTCCCCACATCATAATTACCCAATTAAATATGCTAGACATTATCTTTCTAAGTTCATCCTTCTAACTTCACATTTATGTCTTCGGTAAAGATATATTTATACATAATATTCTATATAATATTAAAAGTCTAATATGTTAAGTGTCTTGACCATTCATTCAACTGTTTGACCAGTCGCTCTGATGGGCACTGACCACCAGGGGGTGGGGTAGACTGCCAACAGGTAGGTTAGCTTGCTGCTGGGGTCCAGCCAATTGGGACTGGGCGAGATGGGCTGGACATACCCTAGGAGGGGTTCCTCCCCAGCCTCGATTATGCACCAGTGGGATCCCTCAGCCTGGCCTGCACCCTCTCACAATCAAGAACCCCTAAGGGGATGTCTGGTTACACAATCCCGCAGGCCAAGCTGAGGGACCCCACTGGTGCACAAATCCGTGCACTGGGCCTCTAGTATTATATTCAATATAATACGTGTGCAAGCATGAATGATGACTCAAATTCTTTCATTCTTTCTACATTGATTAGCTAGTCTCCTTCTATATAATACTCTATATAATCAACTATTTGGTTACCCTAAATTATGAATCATGCAAGAAAATTAGAAAAAGTGCTTATTTCTTTCCTTTTATGTATCAAATTTAAGAGTCATACATTGATGTTCAGAAGCATTAAGTGCTCAGTAAATGGGAACTAAGAGTTTTCATGCTTTTTGCCTTTGTTACAACTTGGATATCTTACAATGATGTTTAAAAAAGTCCTAGAGTCTCACTTTCTTCAACACAAACTCACAGTTGGGGCTGGCACACCAAGGAACCTTACCTCATTCTCTGAGGAGCTTGCAGAGAGGAGCACCTCTTGGGCATCAAAGAACTCAGAGACAGATTCTGACATGGAGAGGCGGCTCTCATTTGCTACTTGCTGTGACAGAGGGAGACTGACATGGATTTGCTCACCAGCCTACGGAAGAGAGAAGCATATGGTGCAATCATTATTGGTACAAAGAATAGCTATTTGTTCAAATTAGACCATGATGTGCTACTCAGATTTCTAGAGAATGTCACACCATATGTTAAAAATGTGGTGACCACAAGTAATTTTCAGTTGCAACTCAGAAATGACTGCATAAATGGCCTTCCAATATGTCTAAAGAACGTGAAAGGCATAGTTAAAAGGTGCCATGACTTGATTTCAAATTTATGCTTAATTGATATTAAGTGGAATTTAACAAATTGGGTCCCTATCAATACCTCAAACTGATTATAGTAATGAGTTCATATACTTACGTCTGTCATTGCTAGCTATATTCCAATTAGTATACTAAACCTCAAAAAGTATTTGAAGAAACCACTATAAATATTCTAAGAAAACAATCTACAAATTATTAAAACAGAATATATAAAAGTCATTTTGCAAGGAAACATAACTAGAGTATTAAAACTTATTTCAAACTGTATTTTTCATTCAGTAAGTGATAAATATAATTCTCAAGGAAGATATTTAAGTTTCCATTAAAATATGTGTAAGAGAACTATATATATATATATACACACACACACACACACACACACACACACACACACATATATATATATATATATATATATTTTTTTTTTTTTACATATGTACATTCTAGTAAACATTTCAGGTTTAAAAAAGATTCAAACTGAGACTGTTAACTAATATTTAAATGATAGAGTTTTAGAAATACTTCTAGATCCTGGACAGCTGAGCAAGCATTAGTGTCATCAGAAATCATGGGTCTCAGGCAAGTGGGCAACTTAAGAGAAGCTGCCTTGAGATATTTCTCAAGGAGTTAGATGGAAGAACTGTTGCACTTGTAGATTTCTAGTAAAACATGTTTTTGGCACAAATCTGACCTTCATATTAGTTAAAACTCTCACCTTGTTGTATGTAGGACTGTATCTAAAGGTCTAATATCACTGTTGAAATTATAAAAATTATTGTTTTATCCTGGTGATAAATAATTTCATAAAATGTTAAAAAAAATAATTACACACTTAAGTTTAGCACACATATTGAACATTCAATATGTGGGCTAAACTTAAGTGTGTAATTATTTAAGTGTGTAATTATCTTCTTACCATTTCTTCAAAAATTCTTCTGAAAAAATGGAATAATAGAACCTACCTCAGAGGGTTATTGAAAGTGTCAAATGAGATAACACATGTAAAGGTGTTAGCACAATGCCCAGCACATAATAAGCATTCACTTGACATTAGCTATTAATTATCATTAGCTGCAGCAACAGCAGCACCATTCGTATTATCTTAGAAAGGTCAGATGACTACTTAGATAGGATTTTAAAAATAAACCTCAAGAACATGTTCATTTAGTACTTTCTCAGATAAACATAAAAACAAAACAAAACATTTCATGAGCCATTTCATCATATGAACATTTCAAATAAAGACTGAGACAGACACAGAAAATTCACCAGTGGGAGTAGACATAAACAAAATATTCAGTGGCATCTGGTGAACGTAGGAATAGATAAAAATAGACTGATCACCAAGAATGTCAAGCTCATGTACATCCTTCCCTCCAAAGAATACTGAACTGTTAGTAACATGAATATTTATCCAGGGAATGATATTAATAGTGCAAGAACTGTACAAAAATAAACAAAATATGCAGTAGATTGAGATGCTATAAAATAAGTACTCCACATCTATTAACATTGAGCCTTACCTCATCAGGGCTAGGGATAATATTTACACTGACAACCTGATCACAAATAATAGATTCTGAGTGTATTCTGCTCAACCGACTCCTCAGTTCAGCATTCTGGTTGAGTGCCTTAAAACAACAAAAACCGCACATGTAATTTCAAGTTAATAAGCAAGCATATTACAAAACAAGCACATGGGTACATTTTAGACAACAAAGACTATGATGTTCTTAGCTGTGACTTTTCGAGTCATCATACGCCTGATCCTACTGGTAAAAGGAAAACAAATGGCTCAGAATTAAGAGATTCATTTTTGTGTGATATAAGACTACTCCTCAGTAGGTTAGAGGGTTGAAAGAGTTCATGGATTTCATAAAAATGATTCATGGAACTTTCTCTCCCTTAGGTCAGACCCATTACACCCAAGCCCATCTACCACCACATATATATTACATTTTAGACCTTGGGATAAAAGCTATTAATTCTTTCAAAAAAATTTTTTTTGTTCTAGTCTTTAAAGTTTGAAAGCCAGATTACCTTAAAAATTATTTGGAAATGAAATGAACAATGAATTGGCTTTATATTTTAGAGAATTATTTTTCATTTTAGTAAAAGAAAATAGTTGTATTTTCATTTTCTAGGAGCACATAATTAGTACATATGACAACGCAGCAGAACTAACTCAAGTGCAACCAAAAGGTGCCTTTACTGAACAGCAGAGACATGGACAAGTGTAATGAATAACAGAACACAGAAAGGAAACTAACTGCAGGTTATCTGCATCACATTATTTTCAGCACTAGTAAAACACCCCCTGGAGAGCAGCGCTACACAGCACAGCTCCCTACAGGAGCCTGTGGACAAAGGTGCATGCATCAGATGGATGCAGGGGAGCATCCTCCATATACATGAGAGGTGTAGCTAACCGGAGTCACATAGAGTTTCCAGGACAAGGCCCAGTGAAAAGCTGGACAGCTCCTTTCCTCCTCATTAAAATCAGCAATTAGAAGACAAAAGTAAATGTAGAGAGTGGAAGAGAAATGTTAGGACTTAATCTGTCCCAGGGAATGGGCATTCTGCTTTTCTCCATATGAGAACATAACTAGAGCCAACAAACACAATAAACCAATATATATATAAATGTCATATGATAATTATAAATTGGTGCCTATTAAAACACTGATTTATATGGTTAATGTCACATGTTCATGATGCACTGCATAGTCCTTGAGCATGGAGCACAGAATGGTCTCCGTTCTCTCTCTTCAATCCAGCTTCTGTTTATTTAGAAAATTGTTCACTCACAGCTTTTGGCTTTTGTATAAAGTCTTTAGAACTGGTCAGTAAAATATAAAACATTTGGTCTGGTGGAGAGTCAAGTATTGATGGGTTAAAGATGGATATAGTCATTACATTTGCAGGTACGAGGAAATATGTGTTCAGTTTTAGTAAATAAACCACATGCTTCAAAGGAAGAATTCTAATGTCTTTTCCTTCTGCAAAAGTGCTCAAGATCATTTTTCTTTTTAAAATATTTGTATTAATTTCAGAGAGGACGGGAGGAGAGAGAGAGAGAAATATCAATGATGAGAGAGAATAATTGATTGGCTATCTCCTGCATGCCCCTAACTGGGGATTGAGCCCACAACCCAGGCATGTGCTCTTGAATGGAACTGAACCTGAGACCTTTCAGTCTGCAGGTCCACTTTCTATCCACTGAGCCAAACCAGCTAGGGCAGGATCATTTTTCTTGGAACAAAATCTCAAACACTTAGCATTTAAAGAAAAAACAAAACAAAACACTGCATTATTCCTATCCATTGCCACTACTACACACATGCTTATTTTTCTTTCATTATTACTCTGTTCGAAGTATATATTAAAAGTTGTCTTAATTACTGAAATAATTGGAACCAGATGTATTTTGCTATTTTGGACATTGAAGGCCTTCGGGTAGGTTGTTTGATGGTTTTATTTACAGAATCACAGTCTTGATTTCAGGGTTTCATACAATCCTCAACTAATAGTTCCTCCAAAGTGACTGTACTCTCTGTGACCACTGGAACAGAGTTCATGAAACAACCCCACAGAAACTCAAGGGCAAGGTTAAGTAATGATTTTTCTTAGGGTGGGAGTTTTAAACACAGGACTGCCATGCATAAGGAACATTTTGTAGAACTGTTTGCTCTGGATATTTAAGAAAGTGAAATTCTCATTTCAGCTCTCATCTTGTCCAATATTCATTGAATGTGATTCTGCCTACAGATATGCATGAAGGCACACAATATAACCTCTAGCCATTGATACCCATAAGGGATGAGCTAACATTTTGAAAGGAATATTTTATTAATCATATATATGCAGTGGTAGAAAAAAGTTTTACACAACACAAAAATGCATGGAAATAAATATACCGTTCCAACTCTGACAATCCCAAAGGCAGAAAATGTGAGCATACAACTGAGCATGCATCAGCCCACTTCTGTGCATCTTCTCCGGAAGCTCCTCCTTTTGCCTTGATCATGCGGACTGTTTCTGACGTTTGCTACACCTAAGGAGCTTTGTGGTATAGAGCTGTCAGGCAGTGCTCAGGACCACATTTATTATTTCCTTCCTTAAGCTCAACTATTTCCTCTGTAGTTATATCACGGAGGCCTTGGAAACATTGAGGAATATAGGTATTTTCAGTGAAAGGATAGTGATAGTGATAATTAATATGAAAGATGCCAGTTTATGGCAGAAACAATGTATGGAATGCCCCCAAGGTGCCTGGATGAAGCAAGGAAAAAGGAGGCTGATCCCCAGCCACTCCCATCAGCCAACGAGCAAGAAAAGCTATGGGGACTAGTCAGTAATAATACTGGTCTACTAGCGGCATGTAGGACCAGAGGCCCAACAGGGAGGCTCAGGAACTCTGCCTAGATTCTTCACAAGGCAGGTTCTGTACTTATTCTCACTACTTGCCTTTGTTAATGAACTTGGACTGCACTAAAACTCTCCAACACCTCATGTCCCCTGTACACACTCAAGTCTAGTATATCCAAGAAATACACAATTCCTTCTCAAGCTATACAAGAAGTTCTCATCCTGAAGATGTGAGCCAGAGTCAACTACCCTAATCTCCAACTCTCTGGCTATGAACTACCATTCATCCAACCAACCAGGTAATGGGTGAGAATTTGCCACAGACTGGATGAGACTTTGCCATACGTATTCTTTACTGAGTGGAACTGTGGGTTCTGGGCAGGCCTGATGGCTGGAGAATGATATAAAACAGAGGACAAGATGGGATAATCAGAGACATAAACCCTTTGGGGCAAAGCAAAACTGGTTCAAAAAAAAATGAGAAAATGAGTATAGAAACTGTCTCAGTTAGAGCTACCTAGAATCAAATCCAGGATATCTCTTTAAAATAACCTTTTTTTTTAATGAAAAAAAATATATACTTGGAAAATATATTATATTTATAGTATAGTTTATACTATACTATATTTTGAAAATGCAAAGTAGCAATATATTTTTAAAAACTCATACCTTACTACTCAATCAACTGACCATTGATAGCTTGGTATATTTTTTCTATGTATTTTTCCCCTTATATAATATAATGGTGCATACTTCACATGCTATGTATGCCACTTATTCTTTGCATATAAACATTTATTTTATGTTGCATAATCTTCAAAACATGATTTTAATAGTTGCATAATTAGCAATTATTTCCTATTATTGGCACTTAGGCTGTTACTGAATTTTATTAGAATAAATAAAGCTGTCGTGAATGGTTAAGTGCATAATGATTTTCTGTATTCAGTTTTACCTCCTTAGATAACAGATAGCAGCCATGGACCAGAGGGTCAAAGGTCAAAATCTTTTTAAGGCCTTAATAAACATTGCCAACTCATGTTGAAAATTATATTAATTTGAATCTACTGTATAGCTAAACAAAAAAGATTTAAAAGATTCCATGAAGAATATTGTTGAACAGAACAAATTTGACAAGACTCAGGAAACTCTTGAATTCAGAAACAAACAAATATATATGGAACTTTTATCTCAACATTGAATATTTATTTGGGGTATGTGAATGCTTTAGATAGGAAGGATGGTAAATTCTATGATAGGGATTTTAATTATGCTACTCGGCTCCTTAAGCCACATTTTTGCTTACATTTCCATACACACCACAGTTCATTAATTCTAAGATGCACATCCTTCCTCTCCCCCCCCCCCCCCCACCCCCATTTAACACCTCTGAAGCACCGAGTCACTTTAATTGTCAGCAGTTTTTTTTCATAGTAATGCACAGAACGAAGGCCCATCTAACAATTGGTGGTATTTTGGTTTAATGAAGTAAAGTAATTATAGATAAAATATAAGAATCAAATGCTGATGCTCACATTTGTTCAGACACAACACCCACTGGATTTAGCACAAGCTGTGCACAAATTCTGGGGCCATCAATCACATTAATAACAGTCATAAAGTATAATGTATTGAAGACAGACTCCAGTTAAGTTGAATCTTTTATTATTATAGTAATCTGGAGTGCTGAGGTTACCTTAGTCTTATTGATATGATTTGAATTTGGTGTCCAGGGTTTTATATTATTTGAAACATGAAACTAAAGCTGCTGTGAAATAAAGTCATTTATAAAGGAATAGATGTCACATACAATGGTCTGCCCTACAGGCTTGAATCCAGCATCTGTACTGCCTCTCGAGGGTGAAAGTTATTTTTAAAGTTTCAAGGAAGTAAAACAACAGAATTATGTATGTCTTTGTGTACACACAGATCAGGGGAGAAGCAACACTTTAAAAAAGGGATTCACAATACTATTGAGGCAGGTAACAATTTAGGTTGAGTATGTAGTGAGGAATGCTAATTTTATGTATATTAGCATGGAACCTTGGTATATAAAAGCTTTATTGAAAAATAGCATTTTAATCATAAGACATATATCAAATAGGACTTGTGTCAAATAAAAATATGCTTTAAAAATGTTAGACTAGTTTAAGACATTATTTAAACACAGTCTATCTACTTCCTTCTCTGTGGGGAGATCTGACTTGTTAATGGGTCATAAAATAAATATCTGGGGATTTAATTGACGACATTTAATATGAATCAAAGATGTCTTTAAGCTATCTAAAAATCACACTGCAATGTGAAGTTATATTAATATAAAAACATTCCAAACAACTGTCTCAATGTTCTAAAGTGATTTAACATCTGCTCCAATTCTAAGTGCTATATTAAAAGAGGGACAATAAAATTAGAGTTGGCCAACCAATTGATGGCTCTATCAGTTAATTGTTTCCCACCTTCAATGTCTCCTTATTTACTTTCAGTCTATATATTATTTGCTGCTAAATCAGATTCTGCTAACCATTTCCTTATTGACTTTATCAAAACTCTTTAACCTTGATCACAATGGTCATCTCTATCTAGATTCTTCAGCTGCCTCCCTGGGTTTCCATCAAAGGTTCCTCTCCCCGTCTACCCCCCTCCCCACCTCCCCCAGACTGTTCTCTATGTTATCTGAAGTAGTACCATTGAACCTGCTTTATTCTGACTGAAAACACAATTTATCAACATTTATAACTTCAATGACATACTGGAGTATCTACATCTTTCTCTCCATCCCAGACCTCTCCCTGAGCTCCAGATCTATATACCTAATTACCTGTTAGATTTCCCACAGACACATTGATCTCCACAAAAACCACTCACTATTTCCCCTTGCCAAATCAGTTCCTCTTGTAGTCCCTCTTTTGGGAAAATAACTACCATCTATGCAAGTACACAACCTAAAAATTGGTTTTGATTCTGTCTCCTTGTCCCTTTCTAATATTCAGTTGATCTCTGTTCCATGCTTCCCTCTCAGTGTTTTTGAAACTAATCCCTTCCTTCTACAAACCCTGCCACCTCCCTGGTTCAGGCCTGCACTATCTCAGATATCTTAGAGTCTGCCCAACTAACTTTGCCTTAATTCTATCTATTTTCCACACTGTACCAGTAATCTTTCTAATGTACTAAAACATGTAGCAATATTTCCAATTTCTGAAATTCCAGTCTCACTTATTAGTTAAAATTAAGGCCTCCCTAACATTGACAAGATAAATCTCAACTCCTTTGTATGGTCTTTAATGAACTGACCCTACCTGCTTAACTCCTCCTCCTAGACTAATGCTTCCTAATCACTCCATGATTTTGCCGTTCTCCAGATAGTTCTTCAGTGGTCTAACCATGGAGAGTGATTCTTTTAGGGGTGTCGAACTCAATCAGAGAAGGGGCCAAAATCTAAAATCCAGCCTAAATCGCGGGCCGAATGGTTTACTGAACAGTCATAAACTGTCATTGTGATGGAAACGCAGCGGAGTGCAGTGATGACAGCGCGGTGCGGGCCACATTGCAAGGCCTGGCGGGACGGATTTGGCCCGCGGGCCTTGTGTTTGACACATGTGCTTTAAAGAGTGAACTGACAGTAAACTTAAATGTCCAAGCTACGGCTATAGTGAATTACAAAAGAAAGACCAGCCTCAGAGGTGATGAGAGTAAGACTGGCTCAATGGGAAGGTATAGATTGACACTAGAGGGTGACCATAGCCAAAATGCTCTGATAATACACAATTAGAAGAACTGAATTGTTGTGAATAGGGTATAACTAACCATCTTTGTAGTACCAAATTATTCTTTACATCTTTTGAGGATAAAATTGAGCATTTTGGTTAAAAAAATATAAGAACAACAAAAATCCATTGAGGCTTTAGGTCTAGATGTAAGTAAATACGTTTTGAGGAGAGAAGGAAATATTTAACCCAAAGGATGCAAAGTTGATATAATTTTGCCGTATTTTACTTCTGACATATTAATTAACATCAGGTCCTTCCCTGTGAGTTCTGCTGTATACTCAGGCCTAATTCAAGCCTCAATTCTTCCTGAGCTGTGGCTCCGCTCACAGCTCAGAGCTCTTCAGTTCCTCTGAATGACCAGAGTCCTGGGAATCTGCACCATCCACGTGCCAATGTGAATGGACTACAGCATGGCCCGTTTAACTGTTTCCTGATAAACACTGCTCATCTCATGAGTCAGATCATGAGCTTCCTGGGAACATGGCCAGGGCTACTTCTCTGTTGCCATTCCACACCTTGCATCATATTTCACATATGGTCAGTTGAATGAAATCAATAAAATAATAAACAAATAAGTAACTATCAAAATTTCTCTTTCTCATCATTTCTAATCTCTCTGGATGCCCCAACCCAGACTTCTGTTTGCCATTCTCTGTCGTACCAACAAATAAATAAAAGCAAGCAAGCAAGCAAAAAACAAACACATTTTCTTATTACAAGCTTATCTTATATTACTAAGCCTCCACAAACAGATACATTTTAAGGAAACATTGCAGCATGTAGGGGCAAGAGTGCATTCTACGTTTATAAGATGACATTTCCTTGCTTACTTCACCATAATTTTGATCTCCTGGTTCATGATACTTTCAGAATAATTATTGAGAAGGTCAATGAACATAAACTCATGGCATGTATTTGTAACAAATACATGACATGAGAGTTGTCCAGGGAAAATCATTAATGTGCTTATGAATAAAACCCTCTGCAGGCCGGCACACAGTTGCTGCTTTTAATGCTCATGCTCCCAAGTCCCTGGTTTTGCACTGGAAGCAGGATATGCACCTTAACTGGCAGTGTTTCGCTTTAACTGAACACAGAAAGCATGGTCCAGATGACAGCACTCAATAACATGAAACTTCACATTGAAGATAAACTGACAGTTCAGGTACATAAAACATGGCGAGATGGTTTCAGTCTGATTCCTAGGGACTAAGGGAAAGTATTCAAGCAGGAGCTGACCCACACAGAAAACCACTTACCCAGGATTTGCTTGCTCCTTCACTCTGATCCAAGGCACCAGGAAGTGAACAATATTTTATATAAACACTGAGTTCTTATGCAAAATCACATAACAGCATTGAATTCTCAAAGAAAAATTTTAAAGTGCATTTATAAACTGAAGAAAATATTTATTTCAGAACAAGTACTCAAGTGTGAAAAAAAGGATTCTAATCAGAAATTTCAACTTTGAAATACATGGGATTTAATTAATATTCATATGGTAAATTTAATATATATTGAATATTATATAATCAATATATATTGAGTAATATCCACTAGATAATATATATTGAAACATGAAAGTATAACTTTAGGGAATATAACTTAAATAGGAAGAAAACCCTAGGAATACAAATCAGGAAAAAAGAGAGATAGAGATAACAGTAATTAATAGTTTTCAACAGATTGAAATGTATTTTAAGTGGAAAAAATATTAAGTATGGAATACCTAGTAGATTTAAAAATATATATATATTTATTGATTTCAGAAAGGGGAAGGGAGAGAAAAACAGAAACATCAATGATGAGAGAATCATTGATCAGCTGTCTCCTGCACGCCCCCTACTGTGGATCAAGTCTGAAACCCAGGTATGTGAATGGAACCTAGGACCGTTCAGTCCCCAGGCCAACACTCTATACACTGAGCCAAACCGGCTAGGGCCCTAGTAGATTTTGTTCTAACATTGGATTGAATATATTCTTGACCATATTTTAGATGTGTAAACCATGTATAAATACAGGATTTTTTTTCTTTAAACCAGAGACTGCCTTATACTTGACCATGAAGAGGCATTAAAAGTATTTAATCAGCCAAAATAATTATATATTTGCGAGTAAGTCTGGTTGATTGCATTTTTATCTTGACATTTTATGGAAGAAAAGTAATAACATTTAATACTGACACTCAATGTCTTAGGAGACTTATAATCCCATGACTGACTGCCTCCACCCCCATTTGTGCCATACAGGGATGGGAATGTTAGGAACTTGGAACACACGTTCTCGTTTACCTGAGACAGTGACTGTCGGAGTCGTGCCATCTGTGTGCTGTGGCCTTTATTGTGATCCTGCTCAGAAACCATCTGCTTAAGCTTCTCCTTCTCTATAGCTATGCTATTAAATGCAGACTTCAAAAGGGAATGAACTGGGTGGGGAGAAAAGGGAAAAACAAAGATCAAATGGCCAGAAAGAATGTCCAAAATTATAAACTTTTTCACATTTTAACTGATGCATAGATGTTTTCTGGAAAGGTTATATTACAGCCTGCTAATTAAAAGTCATTTTTAAAATTGAATCTATCATAATACTTGTACAAAAAACAAATATGGTATTGGTAATTATTCAGGGTGAATAGCTTTTCATACCAGATATGCCAACAAAAACTTGGGAGCAGCATACCAATTCTAATATCAATATTTATACATTAACTCACAATTCCTAGAAGGAAAGGGAACAAGTTTTACTGTGCCATAATTGATGAGAGCATCTGAGCAGTTCTGCGTACCATGAAGACACACACACATTATTTAAAACTATCTAAAAATTATTTCCCAAATGTGTGCACCCCGAAGAGAGCATTTTATAAGTCCTGCCTGTAAGAACAGAAAAAAGGCTTTCTTTTTCTTTGCTGTAGCCTTCTACAATTTATGAGAAGCACCTGGCAATTAAACCCCAATATTGTTAGCTCCTATGATTCAAACAGACACTCTGTTCAAACTGGGAAACAAGATAAGCTACTCTCAAGGCTACATTCTTGCATACCCCTCCTCCCTGCTGTTTTTACAACTCAGGAATAATTCGCACCATGGGGTCTCTAGTTAGTAAAAAGTTCCCTTCCGCCATCCCCTTCAAACACGCCTCTTTTGAACTTTTAATAACTTTTACTCCAAGCATGTTTTACAGGCTTAGAAAAAATACTGATAAGACACCTCCCTGGACTGTCTCCTGAAAAACAAACCAACTATAATTTTTTCAAGACAACTTCCCTGGTGTCTACTCAACTTCAGCCCCAAATTCCCCTCCCTTCCTTGTTGCTTAGCAACAGCTTCCGCTTAGACGAGCAGGCTGCCATTTACTACTTCTTGCCCTGTATTGATTAGCAATACGTGGTCCTTTCCCTTCAGGGAACGAAAAATAAACTTCCTCTCTACATCTCTCCTTTTCATTATGAGATCTTTCACAGCCCACAGCCACATCCTATCACTGCCAACAAAAAGCAGGCAGCTGATCTAGAAGGTGCTTACTAGTTCTCTTTGAATTAGGAACTGATGTTGTCTTAAGAACAGTACCTGCAAAATCCTTTCTTAGCCAGGAATATCTTGAAGTTAGAAGTATTTTGATTTAAAAGTAACAATAAAAATTCTAGTTCCCATCCCAACTCCTGCATACCTAACAACATACATTGGTATAATCTAAGGCAGTCTTTAATTTTAAATTACAAAAGGTTGAATTTACAACTCTCATCATTACAATAACAGAATTCATATAATATACAAGATCTACTAAAAAGAGGAATTACCTTATTTTAGAAAGGTTATTTTTTTAGAAGTGGAAAATTTTAGCATAAAGACTGGCCCATATTAAAAGAGGAAAAATGGAGGGATAACAAGGGATCCACAACCTATTGATTTATTGTTGCATTCTCTCCATCATCAATTTAAAGGTAATAACTTGATAGCTGGAATACATCAATCCTACTGGCAGCTGTAAAAGCAGACTCTCAGTCATTTCAAAATCCATAATTCTTTCTAAAGGGTTCACTCAACAGTCATAGAAAAGCCCATTTCTCCCCCTACCACAGTTGCAAAGAAAATATGTTGTTTCAAAAGGCTTTAAAATCCTATTGAAACTTGGATTTCCTGAAAGCCTCAGGATTGCAGCTAAATTCACAAAGCTTTCTTGGGACTACCTTCAAATGTACTCATCTTCCTTTACAGCTGTGCTGTACTTAACTCACACTTGTTTCATTCTACCTGCTCCTACACTCCCTCTCCCAGAATGAGTAAAAGTTACTGGTTATACTGACTGTAAATCAGTGCTATTTTATAAGCAAAATAATATTACTCTAGTCCAGTGACAATTAGCATACAGCTAAGAAATGTAATAAAGTGTACTAGGAGTAAAAGAGCAGGTGAAAGAGGGTTGGCACTCCAGTCTCAACTGAGAAACCTATAGAAAAAAAAGGGGGGGGGGATGATTTAGCTTAGTTGTTTTACGATTACAGAATTAAAGAAATATCTGATGGTATATCTGTGCTGATGGATTGAGAATACAAATTTTTGTTGACTTCAACATTCCCAGCCTGGCTGGCCTGGTTCAGTGGTTGAGCACCAACCTATGAACCAGGCAATTCCTGGTCAGGGCACATGCCTGGGCTTCAGGCTCCACTCCATCGTGGGGCAAGCAGGAAGCAGCCGATTGATGTCTCTCTTTCATCAATGTTTCTATCTCTCCTCTCTCCCTCTCTCTCCCTCTCTCAAATCAATAAAAATATATTAAAAAAAAAAAAAAAAAAGCATTCCTGGAGGTGCCCTCCATATGCTCCCTTTGGTTTCCTGTGCCACCTGGCTCTTGAGTATTGGCTGAGATGTTCCATTTAACACACATTTTCAAGAATAAATTATAACCTATTACCAGCAGGCCCAGGGGAAATAAATGTGATTAATTTACAGTTAGGCATTAGAGACTAAAAACAACACCACGTATAGTTTCTCTAAGAGATTATGCTTTAAAAAACAATGTATTCGAAGGCACTAACTTAAATCAAAAGTGCATTTCCAGCCGAAACCAGTTTGGCTCAGTGGATAGAGCCTCGGCCTGTGGGCTGAAAGGTCCCAGGTTCGATTCCTGTCAAGGGCATGTACCTTGGTTGCGGGCACATCCCCAGTAGAGGGTGTGCAAGAGGCAGTTGATCAATGATTCTCTCTCATCGATGTTTCTAACTCTCTATCCCTCTCTCTTCCTCTCTGTAAAAAATCAATAAAATATATTTAAAAAAATGTTTTCATTTCCATGGCCCAAAATGTACATACCAGAGCAGTAAAGGACAGGGTTAATTTGGGAACTGAGGCTCTTCTTCGTAAATACATACTCCACTATCCTGCATTTTATTTATCTCATCCTACTCCCTGAGGGTGATAACAATTGGACTTATGCCACGTGACATGTTACATTTTAACACTGAAAAGGTGACTCCAAGGAGGGGCCTATTTCCCCTCCTCTCGAATCTGTACTGGCGTGTGAAGCTCCGACCAGTAGAGCAGCTGGCCCTGAACAGGACCTGCAGCTTCCAGCCCAGCCCGCCCCATTCTTTTGGAGCCCTGAGTTGCCCTGAAGAGGGAGTGGGACATAGTTGTGTGCAGCTTTTCGGCTCTCCAACCAACTTGCCAAGCACATGGGTGAAGCCACCTTGGATATTTCAGGCCGAGGAATAGCACTGAGTGAGCGCAGTCAAAGCCACAGGGCACAGAACTGCTTAGCTGAGCTCTGCCGACTCCTGACCCACAAACTGTGAATGGTGATGGGGAATGTAAACTAGTAACCTAATGAGTTGTTTGAGAAAAAAGGAGAAAGATTCAAACAGAATCCATTTCTCTTTTCTCCTTGCTAAGAACAACCCAAAATTATGTATTAAATTATAACTAAAAGACAGTGAAAAAATGTTAAGTAGTGGTGGCTGCTGGCCTGTCCAGGATAGCTCTTTGTCTTTCTTCCTTCCTCACGGCCCCACCACCAAGGACACTTTGTTTACTCAGTCAGAACAGTAAACCTATGATTTGTGTTGTCCCAAGAAGTAGGCATTGTATCCCACTGCATTCTGTATATAGTAGAACTCTAACCAGAACATAAACCATTTCATCTTTCCCCACAACCACCTAGACACGGAGAAAGGAGTAAATGGCAACCTCCTGTTGAAGAAGAGTACTCCCTGAAAGGGCACGTCAGAGTTGGTGTTACCTTTCTGTGCAATTAGGCAGAATTCCTCTTGAAGTTTTGTATAATCTGTTGAACTTTCCAGAGGGTCAGTGAGGTGGCTCGGGGGAGTCTGAAATTCAATGTCTGCACAGAGGTTAGGGTTGGAGGAGTGCAGGCGGACCGGTGACATGGTGGCACTGAAAGGAACCTGAAAGGGGAAGAATCCTGAGTGAACACCAGTGTGCTGTGCATTCTCCCACACAGACAAGATCTCCTCCCGTCTGCCACACAACAGAGCCCTCCCTGGCGACACACAGGGGGCCACTCATGTACTCTGCAGGGGGTCGGGGGTGGGAGGAAATCTCGTTTCCCATAGTGGATTTAGGGCTGCTACCGACTCCCTGGCTTTTCAATGGTACAGGGTGAGGTGGCTCCAGAACGACAGCGAGAAAAGGCACAACAGCAGATCAGTTTCAGCTCTGAACCCACAGCTGTGTCTAAAACATCAATGGCAGAAAACACCAAACTGTGACGTGGCCGTCCTTGTCTTACAAAGTCTAGGTGCTCGTGGCCGAGGATTTTTCATGCTCATGGCTTTCTGAGCTCACTCAACAGGTAAACATTCAAGAGGAGCACACACAGGAAAATTCACTTGTCCCATAGCCATTAGATAAAACACAAATTAAGTTTAGTAGTACATATAATGGCTTAGAGAGACTCACAATTAAGTTTGAAATTGATTTAACAAAATGTTTCTAAATTACATATATATTGCATAATTTACTGTAGATTACCTTTGTTGTATGTTAACATAATGCTGTTACATGTACGAGCATGGCTTATTACCTCACCAACATAGAAAAGCATTAAGTAAAAAAAGTCATATTACTATAGATTTTTTCCAAATGGCTAGAGATACTTCCTTGTCCAGGCTGGATCTGGACTGGATTTGTGGTGGGTGAAGGCAAAGTACATTGCCCTCTCCTTCTAGAACATTCTACCTGACCATTACAAATGCTGTCAGCCAAACATTCTTGGAAAATGAGAATACCGATTCCTCTTGTAAATAAAACTAGTAACCTCCCCTAGCTCTTACTGCACAGATGTTCATTCAATTATCTTCAAGAACCAGACTCTTGGACTCCTTTGCAAGCTGAATTTTTTATAAATGATAGCATTACTCATATCCTCTATCTAATGGAAAATATGCTGTGGGAGGAAGAAACTAATATAATGTCTGGTGTTTATGTATCTCAGAACCTGGTCCTTTTCCTCCATTATTTAATATTTGCTTTAAACTTCCCAACAGGAAAAAAAAAAAGAGAGAGAATGAACACAAACTAGTGCACGTGCATGGCGGATACAGAGGCCAGACAGAGGAGTTGGAAAGAACCAAAAACTCTGACCAAGCTGTAGTTTGTGGATCTGGGTAAGGGCAGTTGAGACTGGACAGAGGGTCCTCTGGATGTCACTTTCCCTTGGTAGGAAATTATAAAATACCAAGGCTTCCTGGGGAAGAAAGTGAGCATGAAGCTTTCCCCACTAAATTCCGCTACCCTAACCACGTGAACGTATGTTATCTGAATCATTTGGTATCTGCACTTATCAAAGTCACAATCTCATCCTCCACGGGGACCTGGGCTGCACTGGGCTGGAGATGTGCACAGCTCCTTCATCTCATCAAGCTCAGTTCCTGACAGGCCACGGCAGAGACGCACACACGGGCATACACACAATGGCAGAGAAGCTATTTGAGAAAATGGAGTCCTTAGGCTTAATACTTTGCTGGAATCCTGTCCAGGTCACTTGTGAGGACAATAACGGAAGTTCTTTGGGGATGCTTATAAAGGAATGGGATTTATATGGGCGAGTATTTAAAGGCAGATAAAGGAAACTTCTGGCCTTCATTGGAGTGACCCTAAATCTAGAAAGAGCAGTCAGTCCATAGCCCTCTAGGAAGGACAAAGAAAACCCCTGGGAAGGGTGGTGAAGATCAGGAGGTCCCGGGGAGAGGTTGTACCTTCAGGAAATGGGCAAGTCAGAAAGTTTCAGATGTAAGGATACGGTTTCCCAATACAAAGAACTAGAAGGGCATTGGGAAACAGGAATGTGGGTGTTTGGTGATGGGGAATGTACTGTGTTGATGATCAAGGAAAGGGGTTTTATCTACACTTGGCGCCTTCAAAACTCCAAGGACTGGCCTGGCATGGAAGAGGGGTGTCTTCCCTGGCATTGCAGGGAGGTGGGCAGGGAGTGGCTGTGCGAGCTGGTGAGAGGCTTCCTGGGAGACATGGCACAGTGGAGGCCGAGGGAGCACTGTTAGGACCCAGACTTGTCCCTGAGATCGCAGCCTCTACTAACATTTGGGAATCAAATTCTCAGGAAAAAACATAAACTACAAATTTATATATTGAACATAGCGGAAGTTTAAATTGGCAATTAAATCAGTCAACGTGGGTTTGTATATAACTCCCAGGGAAAGACACCTGGAATGCTGCATTCAAGCCCCTGAGAAATTGAAAACGAGTTCTTACATGTTTCCTACTGAAAATGTTTATGTTTGTATCTTCTTTGTTGTTGTTGTTGTTAAAAGAAGTATATGGAATGAGCCATCTGATAGAAGAATTCATGAAACAAAGTTGAGAATACAAAGTGGAATGTATTAATCTAACTCTAATTGAGTATCTCTTCAGTCTGGGGATTTAGTATTTTACTTATTAATCTAGATGTTATGGGATTACAAAATTCAAGTGGTAACTAGGTTCTCGGTCAGTGAAGGCTGGATTGGGAGCTGTCTACAGCTCTCGATGTTTGTACCCAGGACCCTAAGCACCGGATGTGGCTTTTACAGCCTGCTCAGGAAAGAAACATAGGGCTTTCCTTGAAATCCTTTGGGGGGAATATCCTGGAATATTCTGTTACCAGTGACCACAGTTTGGAATGGAGATGTTAGGAGATGCTTTTAACACCTGTCCATGAAGAAATTAGAGACAAATGAATTGACAGGAGCCACAGGCACTGAAATTTAGCAACGGTAAACAAGTACCAATAAGAGAGCACATAACAGCAGGTCTAAGTGTAGATGACTCACAGAGCGGCAGAAAGGTCTGCTGCTGTTATTCTGCATTGTGTGTGCAGGGACCCCGTGAGGAGTGCTGACGGCCTGGGACTCTCAGAGTCCATCCATGCGGAGGGGCCAGTGTTTCTCCTTCTCTGCCCCCTATTTTTTTGGGTCTGGCTGATGTTGCAAGTGGACCATTTGGGTGTTAGTGCTAGGGAACAAGGGTAAATCTCTGAAACATCTCCCTGGGTGAACTTTTCATTGGCAGCCAATCTCAGCTGCCCCAGACACCCCCATGGGCAAGAAAAACGAGTGACCGGTAGTCATTTGGAAGAAATATAAGTAAAAGGTACTGGCAGGTTAGGATGGGCTCAAAATGTGTGGGGTAACGTTAATGTGGGGGAAGAGGAAGGAGAGCCACTGTAATAAAAGAAATAGGGGTGAGTCACCAGTGTCAGGTCACTGGGTTATGGGTGAGGGGCCAAGGGGTCCTGCTGAGGGTCCTGCTAGATGTTGCTATGCTCTGGTGTGCATGAAGTTATACATTTCAGAGGTTTTAGAATAACCACTCCTCAAAAAAACTATTCCTGAATTCATTGTTAATTGGTGCCAGTAACTTTTCTCATTAGATGCATCTTTTCCATTTAAAAAAGAAAAGCCAAACCAACCTCTACATATGGATTAAACATCATCTAACTTTGTGGTTGCTCTGCTTTTATCCTTTCTGATTTTCAGCTTACAATTTCCCCTTACTAAGTGTAACTCGTGTAGCCATTTGGAGATGACATCAAAATCCACCTTTTCTTACCCTCAAATTTCTTTATTCTCACATCCTGTTCAAATAGTCACATTACTACAAAAAAAAAGCACAATTTATGCCTGTAGTAACATGACTTTTCTGAGAAAAAACAGAACTCAGCAAAGGTTCCAATGCCAGTGTGGCAAACAAACAAACAAACAAACAATATTGTTTAAGAAAACCCCACTCCACAGGTTTTGCATCCTTGAACTGAATTTTTCTCTCACATGGACAGCAGAAATAGAGAACCATATTGTGGAATAGTTTACCAACTCACATATCAATGTCATGTCCACTCCTGCCATGCAAAGGCACCCAGAGAGCATGCGAAAGCTATGCCAACACAGGAATGAGCCAAAGCTGACGCTGTCACACACAGGTGGCAACGTTAGACCAGGGGAAGTGGCACCCGCACACAGTTTCCCAAAGTTATTAAATGTCCACTTGAGATTGAGATCCACTCACTGTTGTAGCCACTGCTGCTGCTAGCCTCTGCCGGCGCCGGGTGGAGCCAAACTGGCTCTTCACAGATGGCCCTTCCTGACAGTGAATGAGAGAAGAGGAGGGAGGAAAAAACACGGGATGAGGCAGAGAGAGGGCGGAAGATAATCAGACACGGGTGAAGGGGAGTTTTTAACTGAAATTGACTTTTCCTAAATCTTAGCGTTAAAAAGAGCTCTAAGGGGGCATTCAGGATGCGAGAAAAGTTCATCCTCATCACAGAATATCCAAACACATAAGTCTGTTAACTAAGATAGCCCCACACCCCAAAAAAAGAGATGGAAAGGTATGAACCGACAAATGGCTTGTGCTTTCAAGGTAAAAATACATTTGCACCCTGTTTCATTCATGCAATGCTATGTTATAGGAAGTCAAAAGGCATTCTCTAAATGGAAGCAAAAAAAAAAAAAGTTCAGGAAAAAGTAATTTAAAAAATAATGTGCAAAAATTAAAATGAACAGGTTCTCATGGGAGCTCCTGTCGGCCAGGCAGAATGTTTTTGTTTCCAGATGGGAGGAAAAAGTAAGGGGTGGGGATAGCAGAAATCTTCATTCCCTTCCCATGAAGCTCTCTGAAATTCCACGTTAGGGATGACGTTGAGATTTTCAGGTTGAAGAATTTTCTAAGCGGATCCTCATAGCATAAGAAAAAAAATCTCAATTTTCTCAGTGTGTGGGGACAGTGCCTACAAAAATCAGCTATGGAAACCTGAAAGCATAGGTTTCATTCTGTGATGTGCACCTGTGCATAAACTGCTGGAAGAATCCCTGAGCTTGCTTTCTTTTATTCTCTGTTTAGGCGGGATTAAGGAATAGTGACATTTCCTTTTAACCACTCAACTCTGCCTCCGCTGGACAGATCCTGGCTTTTGGGCTGTGAGCAATATTTTTTTTTTAATTAAATTATTATCTGTGTACATATTTTACCATTGCCCCCCTTCCCCCATACATACCCTCCTTCCCCAGAGTTTTGTGTCCATTGGTTGTACTTATATGCATGTATAAAAGTCCTTCGGTTGATCTCTTATCTCCCCCAGATCTCCCTACCCTCCCCGCTGTAATTTGACAGTCTGCTTGTTGCTTTATGTCTCTATATCTATCTTTTGGTTCATCAGTTTATAATGTTCTTTATTATCCATAAATGAGTGAGGTGATGTGGTGTTTCTCTTTCATTGACTGGCTTATTTCACTCAGCATGATGTTCTCCAATTCCATCCAGGTTGCTGCAAAATGATGCCAGTTAACTGAAATGCACTCAAGAGTCACCAAACAGCCCAGATAGAGAAAAACAGCAAGATTGTTTTAGTCGTTAACAATAGAAAAATATCTTAAATCCCTATATCTCCAATTCTCTTTATAGTTGCCAAATTACAATTATATTTCTCTTCTAAGTTCTTAAATCTTCTTTGTACGTATATGATATGTACATATGTCATTTGTTTTCCACCAAATTTTTTCCTGTACAAAAATCCTGTATGTTTAATGTAGTAAAAAAGAACTTATTTACAGCCTACAGTGTAATCTGAGCATCTGTGAGATCTAAGATGGCTACACATGAACAACATCCTGTCATTTATCTCCTACTCACACCTCTTATCATTCCTCCTCTCCAACAACTAGGGATCTAGTATGTAATTCATGCTATTAGCAACACAGGAAACTGGCAGCTCTCTCTTTTACAGCAACCCTTTCAAAATCATCCTCTTCTTGCAGTTAAAACACAGCCCAATTATTACTGTACAAGAATGATATTGGAATTTTTATTAGAACCAGAAAATTTGAAGTTTGGGAGACAGAAGTCCTTTTTCTAAAAGGTAATCTTCACAGAGCCTTCTAGGACAAATGTTGCCTTCAATTAGTTACACAATGGATTCTGAGGCTAGCATCCCAATGGCTTCTCATGGAAATATGGTCATAACCTTCACATCCAAATCAACAGCACAATCTAACAACCTATGTAAGAATAAGCAATTAAACACCCAGTATAATGTGTTCATTTTTACTCTCCCGGGGTCCATTTTTCAAATGATCTGTTTTATAATTATTTTAAAATGAAAACTGCTACAGAATGCTGAACGCAAATTCAGTGAAAGTACCAATAACGACAACAGCAATGGCAATAATCGCTACCACCAACAATCACAAATGGCTGGTATTCTAAAAGTTACAAACAGGGGAGGGAAAATGAGCCACTCACTGCAAAGCCTCTCATGTTGGCTGCAATAGTGACCATCAGAGTGAGTGGTTCAAGAAGTGAGATGATTATGGGCTCAAACAAGTACGCACACCATCAGATGGAATTCCCATGCTCAAGAAACACTTCACACAGGAGGGAAAGCCTGTGTATTAGAGTGGGAGGGGGTGGCAATCCACGACAGTAAAAATAAATGTTATGTCTTTCTAGAGGTGAAATGCTGATGGGTAATGGCATTTATATTGGTCACAGTCATTCCTGGTTAATTATATAGTTCCTCAGCCTAAGGGATCCTGGAAGGCCTGTTGGTTTGAGTGAGCAGAAATGGTCCAGAGATGGTACCAAATTCTGCAGCCTTACCCCTCCGTACTGGTCAGTCCGTGTGGAAGTAGGGTTTCTCTGGGAATGGTTAATAGCTTACCGCTGGCCCCAAGTCTGATTATTTCCAGTTGGAGATGCAATTAAAGCTGCTTTTGTAAGTTTAAAGTTTTCTTTGAGTGTGGGGATGAGCGGATTCCAACTTCCCTCAAAAATAATTAATCCAGAACCACAAGGGCCATTTTGTTATACTTTTGGCAAAACAAAAGCAAAGCAAAACAGCATAAATAAAAACTTAAAAATAAAAAGCACACCCCCCCTCCCAAAAAAAAATGTTGCAGGGGTATGAATGAAGAATATTTGCCTGCTTTTTTGAATAATTTCTACTAGTGACTTTTAAAAAAATTTTTATACACTTCCTGCACATTGAAAAGCACAGGCTGTAGCTGTGGGTATTCGGAGTTCATCTTCCTTCCGTCAAGAAAACTGAGCAATATGGGGACGATGGTGGCCTCATGGCCACACAGGTGGCTAGGGGCACTGCACTCAGACTCACTGAGAACCAATTAAGACAACAGCTGTGAATGGAAATCTGTTCAATGGCGAACCTTATAAAAACAAGATTAAAATGATAGCTAATTATAGTCAACAATTTTTATAATGGGTCCTTTACCTAGTTATAATAACCATGGACACCAGGATTTAAAAAGAAACAAAAGCAAAACAGTCCTAGCTGGGTTGGCTCAGTGGATAGAGCGTCAGCCTGGGGACTGAAGAGTCCCAAGTTCGATTCTGGTCAGAGGCACATGTCTGGGTTGCAGGCTAGATCCCCAGTAAGAGCATGCAGGAGGCAGCCAAGCTCATCATTGATGCTTCTATCTCTTTCCCTCTCTCTTTTTCTCTGAAGTAAAGAAAATATGAAAAAAATAAAAATCAGCCCCAAAACTAGACAATCATGTGCCCAAAACAAATGAAATTGCCAAAAGCAATTTTAGGTAATTTTCTTGTGAAGTCATTTGGCACATTTGTCTCTACAGTACTAATTTTCCGAAAAGAAGGGAAAACATACTGAACAAAGGAACAAATGAAATTGTGTTCAGAGAATGTGGACATTCTAAATAAACCATAAATTTATAACGCTTATGAAAACTTATTGTCAAAAACATCAGATTAGCAAGCAAAGCAACAGAGAGTTTGTTATTTACACATTCAGAATTATGGCACAAAAATGTTATCAATAAAGTCAGAATTAAAGAAGAATTAGTTATTTATTCAGACAAATTCTGCAAAGCAGTTCCCTTTACCTTTGTATTAGAATATAAATTGATTTATAGTGCAACAGAAAGCAAAGCAAAGTCATAAGTTGAATTTTGATTGTGCCAGGCAAGAGTCCTTTATAATATACAGCTAGGATCAGAGTATTAGAGATTCTAGTTTATAAATCTAAAAATAGTATGACTTGTGGCATAAGAGGTTTTAGGCATTTACCATATTTGGTATCATTGCAATAAAATAACAAAATAGGACCTTATTTTAAAATTATTCATAATAAGTAAATAACATTGAAAATAAATTTAAAGTAAGTTTATTATGAACAATTAAGACTACAGTTCAGATTTTAAACATGATTGTTGATGGCCAAATAATATATATTTTTATAGAATTATAAAACTTTAGAGTTAGTTACTTTACCCAGGAACAAACAGAAGCCCAGAAAATTTCAGAGAAATGCATGAAATTATATTGCCAGGAAATTACAATAATCAGGCTAGATCCCAGGTTGATTGATTTCCAGTCTATTGCAGTTCACACTCTTTTATTGACAGGTAAAAATTTGGATTTTAAAAGATATATTATATAAAAATGAGTGTACATTACAACCCACTGAATATTCAGTTGAGATTTTTAAGATGATCAGAGTACAAAGAATAGATTTTCCTCTATTTCTGGATAATATAACTTAGTCTGAAAAGCACTGGATTTAAAGCAGTTAAGCTGCTGTAAACCTTTTAATTTCCATGAACTGACACATAAAGACTATAAAGTATGCAAAAATATGAATGGAGGAAAAGTAAAGTCGGTACCTGCAGTTGTATTTTTGTATCTTTGCTGACACTTTTTGTTCTCCATCTTCTTGTGACCCGCTTGTCTTTCTTTGAAATATCTACACAGTTAGCCTACATTACACAAACAGTTAAAAGCAACAAAGTATTGTTAAGGTTATACATATACAAAACAGGCCTAGACTAAGAGAGCAGAGCAAGTTAGTCAAGACTCACTGTTAGACACCTAAAGCAACCAGCCAGGAGAAGGCATTATCTGATGCACAGTGGACATTCAAAAGCAAAGATGAGAACTTAACATAAAATATATTTTTCTGCTATCCAAAATGAAAACAGGATTATAGATCTGTAGCATTTTTTTCCTACATGAAAAGATGGTCATAATTCTGAGAGCAGAGCATCTAAGTTTATACCTTCAATGCTATCATTTTTAATGTAACCCACATATAGAAAAATGATTCAGATTTTTATTTTTTCTAGTTTGTACTAAAATGTAAAACATTTCAAACTAGACATCTAACCACAATGGCACCAAGATTCCAAAATACTAAGAATGATTCCAGAGTAGAAACTAATCTACATTGTAGTTATTTCCCTTTAATGTTACCTTAAACATTCACAGAACAATCTAGTAAAAATTCCAAGTGACTATCTTAAGGTCCTTTTACCAGCAGTGATATGTTTACCTGCATGTCAGTAAAGTTGGGTGCTGATTGAGTTCTCTGAAGTATTTCCAAATTTTGCAGGAGTTTGCTAAGTTCCACAAGGTTTGATTGGCAGTGTGCAAGGTCTAACAAAAAACAGAAATAAAGGTATGTTAGCACTGGGCAGGGAGTGGTGGTGGTGGTGGCGGCGGCAAAAATCTATCCAAACAATGGCAAATACGATTAGGCAGAACCGTGTTTATATATAATGGTGACACTGGCAAATGAAAGAGAAAAAAAAACACACACACACAAAAAACCCACACAGACCCCCCTCTGGTTCAGAACCATTAAACCACTGATGTTTATTAGATGACTTCAAAATGCACTCCTGCAATTAGCAGCTATTAGTGCAGAGAGCCATTAACATTTCAGACAAATGGTATATGCTCGCTTTCCTGCACAGGTGGCCCTTGTCACACAAAAACACGCTCAAGGGAACGTCCGCAGTTGTATGGTTTTACTGTGAAGAACCTGTCTACCAAGAGGATCAATATGGGGAAAAAGAGGGGACATCTGTAATACTTTCCACAATGAAGATAAGTGAATAAGAAAAGGACCTGTCGCCGGGACCAGTTTGGCTCAGTGGATAGAGCGTCGGCCTGCGGACTGAAAGGTCCCAGGTTCGATTCCAGGCAAGGGCATGTACCTTGGTTGCAGGCACATCCCCAGTGGGGGGTGTGCAAGAGGCAACTGATCGATGATTCTCTCTCATCGATGTTTCTAACTCTCTATCCCTCTCTCTTCCTCTCTGTGAAAAAATCAATAAAATATATTAAAAGAAAAGAAAAGGACCTGTCTACCTGTTCCTACAAGGCGACTACTTGGAATAGGGGTGGAGTCAAAGTCAAGTTCAGAAAAATAAGATGGAATACAGAGTCAGGTGAATGTGTTTATCTTCAATTTAGCTCACAACGAAGTGGCAATGCATGATCTCTTTAAAATGTATTGGAGATGTTACATCAACAAAACTAAAGGTTCTCAAAGTGTGTGGCTGGACCCAGCAGGAGCAGCATCACCTGGGCATGAAACCCGTTCTGTTTGAATTGCATAGGATGAAGAAATAACTTTACATGCTATTTTTAATTTTTTGATATATTTTTAAAAGGGAATGTTTAAAGATCTGCACATTGAAATATCACACAAAAAATGACCTTTAGTATGTGAAAGTCAATGATATTGAGTTATTAGTATTATTTACTCAATTAGTGATATCAAGAACATGGCTCCCAGGTATGTGATATCTTGTGCATGTGTACTATTTATGAAGAGCCATGTGTGTAAATCTGTTAAGTTATAGTGATCGTTCTTAGTTTTGTGGCGGTTGGTGAAAATTTCACTCATATTATCTTTGTTTCTTATTAAATCTCAAAGATCTGAATTGTTATGCATGTGGTACAGGCAACAAAATATAACTGTTAAATATGGCTAAAGATGAACTGGGTCAAATAACAAAGGTAGTTGTGTTTGGGAGAGTTTTGACATTTTGGAGGATTTTTTATTTTGTTACTATAAAATAAAATAGAGAGGTAAATACTAAGACTCTTTATAGAGGACTGAGAATCTCTGCACAGTTCATGGAGAGCAATTCACCGGAAGGCCAGGCCACACCTTTGTCCCTCCCTTTAGCAGCATCTGCCTCAGGATGGAGCCCGGGTTGGCTGTTCAAGTGCTGCTACTGTCCCTCCAGGGAACGCTTGGCTATCAAGCACCTCAAATTTCCTCAGAGAGGGAAGCACCAATGAAGATGGGAGGACGAGAATAATGGAAAGGCCAGTGCCTTCCAGGGCTCTACCCCTTCCCCACTTCCAGGGGAGCAGCACCCTTGTATGCCCATCTCCTTCCCTTTACAGAAGACAAGGGAAAGTGGAGCTGAGGGTAGGAAACAAAAGATAAAAAGGGAAAAATGAGGGAGAAATGCAGTGCAAAGAAGGAAGGGGAGGAAAAAAAAAATGGCTAAAAGGAACCATACTTCAACTTGCCTTTAAAAAAACAAAATTACACCATAAACAAGGTGCCGGTGAGGTGTTACCTAACATTGTCTATCTATGGAGTCTTTTATCCAGTTAATATTATATTTATATTTCTTAATAATTGTGACTACCCTACACAACTAGAGAAGGTTTCTGGAGACAAAGAGGCTCAGAGATGGCAGAGTGAGAGGATCATGTATTAGTTCAGAGAGTTTAATAATGGATCCACAGTAGAACACCACTAACAGGTGACTGCGGATATAAGATACGATATAATTGAGCCATGTACTGCAAGCAAGGCAACGCACAGGTGCGATAGAGCGATGGGGCAGAGAGTCAAGGAGTGATGGGGGAGGGCACTCCTGGGGCAGCACTTCTCCCATGACTGCCCCAGGCTTCAGGGACTGGGGAGGCTAAGGAAGGCAAGAGGGAACTGGTGAGGAGATGAGGTGAGAAGCTGAAGAAGGTGGAAGTCAGGGTAAGGATGAAGCCAGACTCAGTACTTGTGAGTGTGCAGAACTGACAGGTAAGAAGCCCGAGTCATGGGAAGGAGAAGGACCTGGTGTATAAAAAAAGAAAAAAAGAAGAAGAATTAGTCGAGGCATCAGGGAGGTGGAGGAAGTGAAAGGCGCAGCACCCACGATTCACCTCCTTTGTTTCTGCTGCTGGGCTTATGCTGACAGCCCACACAGGCTAAGAACTAACCTTCTGCACACCTGTCCATTTCTTCCGAGTCTTGTAACCAGGCTGCCACTTTACTCTGGCCAGTGGTGCAGGTGGCGGGGAGGCTGTTGCTGCATGGCAAGGGCGACTGCCAGGAACAGCTGTTTGGTTGCACCTAAGACAAACAAACAAACAAACAAACAAAAAAGAAGTTAAGCAGAAACAGCACATTTAAGTGAGTTAAAAAAACACACCAAGTACTCTCAAAAGACCATTTGAAAAGAAAGGAAGAAAGGGCACAATCAAAATATGGAGAAAGCCTCTTGGTTAAAAGTGGTGCATGCTCAGGGAAGCCAAAATTCATAAACACTAACAACACTTTCATCAACTGCTATCTCCATTCTACACCGAATGGGACAACACTCAAGTAGGTTGTATCTCATACTCTCAGGGACCTGCCAACTCAAATTCCCAATAATGTTAAATTACTCCATCCGTCGTATTTGATACAGTGTCCTCATGATGGCAGGCCTTTCCCTTACAAAAGCTCTCAGGATGCCCATGATCAGCTCAAGATCAAGGTAGCCACCGGTGATTCCTAAATACTGTACATTATCCATCAGCAAATGCTTCGAATGCATACTGAAAAGTCTAGTATATAAAAAGGTAATCTTGCCAAGTTTATTATTTAAAGCTGATATACTTTCCATGGAAGGTATTTTATGGGAAATAAAGTTGTATTAACTATGTAGATACTAAACTGAGTCCAGTAAATGTTCAGAGGGGGGAAAAAAAAAGCAGAAAGTTATTTTCCCAAAAAGCTGAAACAACTTTAAAACTCCACATTTAATTTTCCTTTACTTTAATTTTTTTTATTACAAATGGCTGTGTCTCTTTTAATTTATTCTGAAGTGAAGGCTGCACATACATAGTCAACACAGACTTATTTGTTACCCACACAGGGCCACAGAGCAATTAGAATGCAGAAGTCTCATGACTTGATACTTAGGATGCAAGCAGTGTTAAGAAGCTCTCCTCAGACTTTATTGTACTTTGATAAATGTTCTGGGAATTTTTCACTGCGTTAGATCTAAGAGGATGCCATTCATAACTAGAGCAATAGATCTCCTATGAAAACAGGAGCTAAAGAGCTTTCTTATTCCAAGGCAAACAGTGGGGAGGATTTAGTTTCAGCTCTCTGTTCTTGGATATCACCCAAGTGATTTAATGAATAACAAAGGGGATGAAAATAATGTATCTTTTATCAACACTCTGTGCCAAAGATGCAGGCGGAGGCTGGAGCCATCAAAGGATTAAACATTTATATTTTTATAAATTTATCCAGCTGGGATACATTTCTTGTTTAATTTGGACTAACTCTGGGATTCCTTTTATCCTGTGATGAGAAGGGAGAAGGCAGGCAGGAGGCTCAGAGAAACTTGGGCGTTATCTTGAGCATCTTGTGTTGGGTCATTTAGGAAATGCCCTATTTCCTAACCCTCTGATCTCCTGATTCACCCAACATCTCCTTCCTAGGAATGACTAAATAGACTTGCCATGGCTACAACCAGAAAGGTTTCAGAGCCTATGAAATACCTGAGTAATTTCCATTGAGATAATAAGAACTGAACACAGAAGTGTTTTTATTTACTCTGATTTGATTAGTCTTACAGTTACTCCATGATGTTTTTCAATGCTTTGCAAAGAAAACTTAGATATATATGTATTATACACACCCTTATAAAAGAAAATAGAGAAAGGGGAATGTTCACTGAAACATTCTCAAATCCAACTTCTTACAGTGGCAGCCAGTTCTTCACAGATGTCTCTGTTCTCAATATCAGGTGCCAAGTGGGAAGCTGGAACACCCCTGGGCAGGGCCATGTGGCTCTGGATCAGAAAACTTAATGATCAAGTCAAAGTCGCAAACAGCTGTCTCCCTGCCTGTGGGCTTAACCTTGATTTTTAATAGGCAACACCTCTAGTTTTTCAACAACGTAGAAAATGAACTCTTACTACAGCCTAAAGAAGGACTTCAGTCTTCTGCAATCTGGGACCCAGTATAATGGGAAGGAAACTGATTTTGGAAACAGAGAGATGAGGATTCAGATCCTGGCTCAGCTGTTTAATGGCTATGTAACACCTGGAAGAATTCTGCATGGTCTCTGAGCTTTCGCCATATTAAAGATTAGAGATGAATACATGTCATTTGCCGAACGCTGCCTGACTGAGTGGGCTACTGCTCAGATTCTTGGCACATGCTCTAGCCCATCTGCATTAACCTCAGAGGAAATTTACTCACCTCCCTGGGTCATGTATGCATTACATCTTAAGGCAAAAAAGCAAGTTTCATTTTCAAAACTATTTAGTCTTCCTATTACTGCCCAGGAAACATCAATTTCTAGGTGCTAATTAATCAAATGTTTGCCCTACTTCCAAACAGTCTTAAAAATCTATAGAAAATTAGGTTGTAGTCCATTCGTAAAAAGGAAAAGCAACTGTTAATTCTCTGTGATCCATATATCCACCTGATCCATACTTGTCATTAGCTTTGATGTCAAATGTCACTATTGTCTTTGGAGAGTTAGTTTACAAAGAAAATCATCTCTTTTGGGTTGGCCAAATGAGACTCCCTTATGTACTTACATAGCTTTCCAAGCAATTTCTGGGCTTTTATATTTCTAAGACATACCTTCCCATCCATGACAGAAGCATTAGCAGCTGGTGAGGATTCAGCTGTGGAGGTTGAAGGAAATATATGAAAACTGGCATCTCTTGGTGACCTCACAATCTCATTCTGCCGGTACAGGCGGTGGTGGCGCAGTTTGGAGACCCATGCATCAAACCAGTCCTGGGATTTCACCTAAAACAATGAACAAGGGAAGGTAATGGTGAAACCAGATTTCCGGTATAGGCAAGTGATTTCCTCGGATAATGGCTGTTGAAAAGCCTGTCAGAATGGCTATCATCAACAAATCATCAAACGACAAGTGCTGGCGAGGATGCAGAGAAAAAGGAACCCTCTTGCACTGCTGGTGGGAATGCAGACTGGTGCAGCCACTGTGGAGAACAGTATGGAGTTTCCTCAAAAAACTAAAAATGGGACTACCATTTGACCCAGTGATCCTACTTTTAGGAATATATCTCAAGAAACTAGAAACACCAATCAGAAAGAATGTATGCACCCCTATATTCAAATTGGCACAATTTACCATAACTAAGATTTGGAAATAGCCTAAGTGCCCATCAGCAAATGAGTGGATTAAAAAACTGTGGTACATCTACACAATGGAATACTATGCTGCGGTAAAAAAGAAGGAATTCTTATCATTTGCAACAGCATGGACAGAACTGGAGACCATTATGCTAAGTGAAATAAGCCAGTCAGAGAAAGGTAAATATCACATAATCTCGCTCATTTATGGAATATAAAAGCAACTTTACCTTCAAATGATAGATGTGCTCTTCTGTGTCCAGGTCTATCCTCCGAGCTTTCTTTTTAATAGACATGACCGAGAGTCCGACATCAATGCTTCCATGGACTTTCCCTTTTTGAATCTGGAATATTTAAAACACTAGTAAAGAGGCTGGGAGGTTATATGATTAGATGTGCTTCTGTACCGAAGTGAGCTTAATGGCATCTTTACCTGCCCTATGGGAAATAGAAGAGCATATCTCCCTTACAAAGGGAAAAAGGTTCGGGTCTGAGATTAAGGTCCTCACTAGTAACCTGAGGACAGTTGAAGTTGCCGTGACTCCACACCAATTTCAGTAAGTAAGGCTATCCATCTCTTATTCCCGTTTCTGGCATAACATATAATGTTCCTTTTTAAAATAATTTTAAATTGTATAGCTGATGTCCAAAAATATATCTTTGATGGTTCTTAAAATAACTGTAGTCAGTCTTTGACCTACAGCCCAGAACATCCCCAAGTAATCAGCTAGCAGACAGCTGCTGGGACAGAACTGGACAGCTGGGACCAGAGAGCACCAGCAGCCAGCTCTTCCTTCTGGCTGCCCTCGTCTGACCAAGGACACACAGCAATTCCATGGAAGAGATGGAACAACACTGAACTGTTATTTCCCCACACCACAATGACATGGAGGGCACTTTCCAGATTTGCATGCAAACAACTACTTTCTACAGTAAAGAAAAATATATTAACATAATTTTAGAAAGTTGGAATTCCCAAGGTAAGAGAATATATGATATGAAATATTAATAGAAAGGAAGTTCATAAGACAGGTATTAAAAGGACATCGACAAGAACAAAGGTTGCTTTAAATCTCAAAACAGCACATAAAGCAGAGTTTATTAAGATGCTGAAAAAAGCCTAATTGGGTTTTCTCTCCAAGACAGAAAAGTTAATATTTATTAGTGTGTTACTTTTAGGTTTGAGCTTGCTTTGAACAACAGTCATCACAATAGTTAAATTAAATCTTCATGCACCAGTTTGAGATTTTATGTTAGCTTGAGCTGAAGCATACAACCCACCTTCCATGCAGCATGGAAGTTTGGTAGCTTGTTAATTGTTACAGGCACAACAAGGAACAAAGCTGGTAACTGCGGCACAAGGCTGGCACAGCTGTGTGAGTACTCACTTCAAGCAAATTCTACATCAACCTTTGACGCATGCCTTGTGTGCTACTTACATCAAGTGGTGCCTTTGAATACTTTAACATTCCATTATCCAGGACAAAAAAACGCTGCAAGAACCAAACAACCTTCGTTACTGTATTTTAAATTATATAAAACATTCACAGGTGTGGGTTAATGCTGCCCGGCATTTAGTAAACAAGGTGTGTATCATTTTTAATGTATAAGTTGTGTACTGTTAACCTACTTCCTTTGCATTGTGGTTTCTTTTACACACAATGCCATGGAGCTGAAATCTTTTCACCATGGTTTTTCTTAAGGGGGGCGGGGGAGTGGTTACACTGGGTTGAGGGGGAGGTGTGACTCTCAGGATCTGCAGCTAAGACTTTCTGAATGAATCACACTGGGATTTTTTTTGAAAGTGAAAAATAAGAATAACCTGAGTTAGGTCAGAGATTTTTGTGAGGAGCTTGGGAATTTCTCAGTCCTGTATTTTTCTGGGTATCATGGGTAATTCCTGAAAATGCTTATATCTGTCACAGAAGCCAGTGCTCTGGGTCTATGATTAATGCAAGTTGCCTTAGCAATATGTTTGCATCTCTACTTCGCAAAATTCCTGCAGTTGTACTATTAGTAAAAGAGATAACAATTATTTCTGAACTACATTAAGGGTTTAAAATATGAGGGGGGTGGGAGAGAGGGAGGGAGAGAGAGAGAGAGAGAGAGAGAGAGAGAGAGAGAGAGAGAGAGAGAGAGAGAGAGAGAGACGAAACTTGGGGCAATTTGTGTCACCTTCAAGATACTCCTGATCTAATGCAAATGTATGCAGCCATTTTGCTCCACAAACACTCAGGAACTCTCTGTTGTTGATTTCCTTTCCAAGGGCAATTGACAAAAGAATAAACAGCTCTCAGGACCCAATCAAACAAGAAGTCCAGTGCCCTCCACCAGTCTCTACAGATGCAGGGAGTCTTTCTGTTGCTGGAAAATTATTCTGCTGGGAAGTTTTAATGTGATTGAGGAACGCTTAGCTGCTGAGGTAGCAGGAAGCCAGGCTGGGGACACCCTGCACAGACCTCACAGAAGGCCACCGGGACATCTTTGTTATAGGTTCTGGGGTGGCAACAAGTAAGCACCAGAAGAAAGAATCCCTACAGCTGGAAAACACTTGATTACTCGATTCCATAACTTGGGCAGTCAAATGGGCTGATGCTTGAATAAATATCTGGTGGCAAGAGAGACCAGAAGAAAAGATTACAGGAGGGAGAACCTCCCACTATTTATATAACAAAACGTTCAAAGGCATGGTCCAGAAAGAGCTGTGGTTGAACCAAGCCAGTTTTGCTGAATCAGGGACTGAGAGTGCTAAATAAGTTTGCAATTCAAATTGGTATATTTGTCCTCCTCCGCCTCCCCCTGCTATTTTTCCATTTCTATCTATTAAAGAATTTTAACAGGGATAACTGTTGGTCACCGGAAAAGAGAGTAGCAGGGCCGATGATTTTTAGGAACTGTGAAGTGGTAAGGTCAGAACAAAAGGCAAAAAGCTAATAAAAATCCAAGGAAGAACAGGGTGGAGAGAAATCCTGGCTTTGGGAGAATATTAGGGGTCAGGAGAGACTGTCAAGTGAGAAGAAATATTGTTGGAACCTCTTTGACCTGCTTTTACTTCACCCTCAGAGATAGAGGATTGAGGAACATTCCCATTGGTTAATTTTTTAAGTCTTTCTTTTTTTTTCTTTTTTCTTTTTTTAAATGCTTTTATTGATTTCAGGGAGAGGAGGGAGGGAGGGAGGGAGGGAGAGAAGGAGAGAGGGAGAGAGGGAGAGAGAGAGAGAGAGAGAGAGAGAGAGAGAGAGAGCGAGAGAAACATCAATGATGAGAAAGAATCTTTGATCGGCTGCCTCTGCTGGGGAATGAGCCCACAATCCAGATATGTGGCCTGACTAGGAATTGAACCGAGACCTCCTGGTGATGCTCAACCACTGAGCCACACCAGCCAGGCCAAGTCTTTCTTTTAAAGTGCAAAAAAGTATATTTCTTCAAGGATTTTATAACCCATAACCTCTCTGCTGGGGGATGATGGGCAGCTACCACCAGCCAATAAATCTGTCTGTCCTGAGGTGAAAGCCATTGGCAGAGGTGGCAAGGAGATGAGCTTATTCTTCCAGTGATTCAGAGATGCTGATGGTCTGTCAAAGGGCTGATACTGAAAACGGAGGGCAAATTCCTCCTCAGCATCACAAAAGTATTGCTATTCAGGTCTCTGCAACAACGAAGTACAAAATATTTTCACTGTGATTAAAGCTGGAGGATGGAAAAAAGCACGTGGGGTCGGGAAGAGGAGAATAAACCATATAGTTTAAAGAGTAATAACCAAACTTCCAAGGTCAGTGAATGTCCACCTTTAATTTGCACTGGTAACAATAATTCTAGGAATTTACCCCAATGAAGAAAATAGAAATTCATGTATATGGCACAGCATCATGACAATAAAAAATTAGACATAAATAGCATACATATCCAGCAAAAGGGAATTGGTTCCATAATCGTGGAAAATTGGTTCAATAAGTTCATCCTGTGGAACACATGCATACATGTTTTAAAACCTCCCATTTAGAAGAATATTTAATAAGAACATATTAATTTAAGTGGAAAAAAAAAAACCACCCAAACCCGAGTGGATAATAATATGTACAAACTGGATTGACAATATAAAAATAAGTTATTTTAAAAATAATTCTCCCCTGCACACAGTTATTACAGATCTCAGCCTCAAACAGGTACAACAGGTTGCATGCAGCCCAAATAGTTGAAACAAGCCTCGAGAATTAGTTTACACATACAGCCACCCTCTCAGCTTCCCACCTAATAACACCAAATCAGATCCTCTATTTGCAAAGATGAGCCGGAGATGAAAAGGATGAACATGTTACCTTGTGCCAGCCTTTTAAAGGCCATTTTCTTTTCTTCAGCATAAAGCCTTCATGTTTGTCTGGTCTCTGGACATTGGTTTGGCCTATTTTCAACCCTTCTATAATTTCCCAGCTGTCAGCTTCCTGAGAGAAAAGAAGAAAGGCAAATCACATGTTTCTTGGCGCTTGATGACACACTTACAACAGATTCTTAAGTAGAAGAAGGTGCTTTTGAAGCAGCGTCGGACCCAGTGGGAGTATGAGCAACATTCTGGAGCAAATTCCGACATCAAATCCAGCTAAGGACTTAAAGGTGAAGTTAAAATGAGCTTCCAGGTAGGCTTGGAAGTCTGGATCCATCAGACACAAGATGGAGTTGGAGGTTGGGGTAGCATGAGATTTCAATTGCCTATACTCAGAAGGTTTTTTTGTTTTGTTTTGTTTTGTTTTTGTTAATCTTCACCTGAAGACATTTTCCCATTGATTTTTAAAGAGAGTAGAAGGGAGGGAGGGAGGGAAAGAGGGAGGGAGAGACATAGACACATTGATTGGTTGCCTTTGCACGTGCCCTGACCAGGTCTGAGGATTGAGCCTGCAACCAAGGTAACATGCCCTTGACCAGAATTGAACCCGGGCCAATGCTCTTTCCACTGAGCCAAATCGGCTAGGGCATGTACTCAGAAGGTTTAAAATGCATTTTTCCAGACAGTGCATCTGTGGGCACAGAGGCACTTTAACCTTTTCAAATAAGACTGTTTTGATGGCAAATGTTCAATTAGTGCGTGGGTCTCGCTCTTTGTGCAGAAATGGAGAGGCTGCAGGGGTCTAAGTGGTTCATGACCTTAAGCTGAAGAGCAGCGCTGTGGGGCAGTTCCTCCTTGGTGAAGCCGTGTGCGTTGCAGAGTGCACATAAAACCTCCCGCTTGCCAAGCACACCCAAAGGTCCCCGCGCTTCGAAGGCATGCGTCCTGAGACACACACACACACCCTTGGCAGCACACTGCGAGCCCAGGTATCTGGGATGCTCACGTCCACACAAACGTCTCCTTTTGTTAAAAAAAGGAACTCAATCACAGTTTCCTCTGCCGTAAGTCATGTTTTGTTCATCTACGGTTTTTATAATTTTTTTTATGAATTGTCAACATTTAAAAATCAGAAGATTTCAGATTTTAAAAATCCAAATTTCCGGTATTTTGTGAAAGCCTGTAAGATCTGGCAGCAGCGCGCATGGCCTGAGAGAAGGGTGCCCATCTTTAGGCTGCCACAGTTCCCCCCACACGCCCCTGGGGACCTGCTTCCACCGCTGACTGGCCCTTAGCAATATCCTGGGTTTTAAATCTCTGGACCAGGTAATTTCTTTAAAAATAATTTTTTTAAAAATTGATTTCAGAGAGGAAGAGAGAGGGAGAGCGATAAACATCAAATCAATATCCAAATCCAAATATGTGTGAATGGGGTGGACTTTTCACAGGAAGTGATGTTTCTAGGACATGTGGCTGAACATTGCTTCATTCTAACATCATGAAGGCTGGGAGACATTCCTGACTTCTGAAAAGCCCTCTAAGCCAGCATCATGCTTCGATCCTTTCCAAGCCCAACCCTACAACACACACGTTCCCACAAAGTCCCAGGAAAACTAAATGAAGACCAGTGTCATTTTTTATCTTCTTTGTCATCTGAGGGGTGCTTAGTGAATGAACTACAGACCTTAAAGAAGCACACCCACCAGTTTTTATTTGGCAACAATAAGAACACTTTAAAGGATCTGTAAAATTATGCATCACTAAAATGTGTTTGTTTGCTTTTAAGAAAAAAGGACCTGTAAGAAAACCCCAAAAGTGATTTTCTAGTTGAAGATAATAATGTCAGAAACGGGGATCGATCTGGTCAAAGTTCTTAATTAGACAGAAGAATTTTAAAAAGGTTGCAAATGAGAATTTCAGGCTGTATACCATGTTTTCTGTACAAGTGAAGGTGGTACTGTCATCCAGAAAACAAAGAGGTGCTTTTGCATTCTCATTTTTTAACAGTGAACTGCAATTTAAAAGGAGAATACAGTTTATGAATAATCTATAATAATAAAAGCATAATATACTAATTAGACTGGACATCCTTTTGGACGACTTTCTGGATTAGGGGTGTCGAACTCAATCAGAGAAGGGGCCAAAATCTAAAATCCAGCCTAAATCGCGGGCCGAATGGTTTACTGAACAGTCATAAACTGTCATTGTGATGGAAACGCAGCGGAGTGCAGTGATGATAGCGCGGTGCGGGCCACATTGCAAGGCCTGGCGGGACGGATTTGGCCCGCGGGCCTTGTGTTTGACACATGTGTTCTGGATGAAGCAGGGGCTGTGAGGGCCGAGCTCCTTGCATAAATTTCATGTATCGAGCCTCTAGTGTTAGAATAACAGAAGAAGAAAGAATGTTCTCATACAAAGTACAGTATCTTTGGCTTTCTATTCTTACTAAAAAAGTAGGTAAAAATGATGGATTTCTACTGATTTCTTTTTTAAAGTTCGGTATACTCAAGAAACGAATATATCCATTAGCACTCTTTCTGTTCTTAGAGAGGTATCAACTGTGCTTAATGACATTTCTATTTTTGGTAGCCCCATCCATGGATAGCATCTCTAAAAGAATAGCATTGCTATTATTGGCTAGATCTTACCTTATTTTAAGGCTAGTGTTCATCTTTGATTTATTCCCTGAGTGTGCATGGGTGGGTGCGTACGATGAACACTCTCAATTAACATTCTCAATTACTCGAGAAAATGGAAACATTTAATAAGTACTGATGTTTTTAAAATTTTTTCCTAATAAAACTCAGAATGTAATAACAGCTTGTCCCTAAGGGGCTATGGTTATTGATTCTAACACACTCATTTTTTTCTTCTTTGGAAGTTTAACTACAGAGGAAACAAAATGGGGTAAGAAAGAACAGATGAAAAGTTAAAATGTATTTCTTCATTATAAATGAGGCAGCTCTGAGCAAATAATTCCATTCACTCTGATGCTGAATTACTAAATCCAGCAAAAGTAATTGAGAAGAATCCTAGTGGAGTTCCTGCAGTTAAATAAACTGTCCATCTGATAAAGCCAGAGCAAACAGCATTCTCCCTATTCAATTATGAACGCTGATGATAATGATATAAACAAGGTGTGAAATAAATGAAACATCTCAGCTCAATATTTAGCACAACCCATCTCTGCTTAGTAGACTAGGTCCATCTTAAGAAAGCTAAAATTACTCTTCGAAAATTGAAGAAATTTTTTTTTTAAAATTTCAGTTGATATTAAAAGTCTTCAATTTTCATTGGTTTACTTATAATAGGAACAGAGCCAAAAGCCCTAATGTGATCATGTCAGTACTTGACTCTAGTCAGATACATAAACTTTTTTTGCCATTATAGAGGTTTTGGTAATATTTTTGATCTAATAATAATAACTAAACACAGGAAGTAACCTAATAACAGCCCTAGTTTATTCATTTTGGGGGGAAAAACACAACCAGAGACATTTCCTTTCTTAAGGGCATACTCTTTGTGCCTGCATGTGTGGGTGGGTGGGTGAGAGAATGCTTTAGGAGGCGAAAGAACCAAAGAATTTGAACACATCCCGAGACAGGACAATGTGTATTTCAAATAATGTTCTTCCACCACCACCAGAGCCCAGGAAGCCCATCTTCTCTCCAAGGGGCTGAGAGATGGTGTCTGGACCCTCTGGTTTCATGGTGCCCCCAAATATGTGGTATCCATTAACACAAAAACACGAGTATTAATCAGGCAGCAAGATCCAAGTAGACGATAGCATGGAGGAGTAATGGGGAGTGGCTAATGCTGTGCCCTACCCAGATCCTGAATCAGGCCCGTGGACCCAGGCCCCAGCTGCTGTGAGCACTGGGAACTGCTAGGGCTAGGGGGAAAAGCTGTTTTCACCAAACTGGGGCCTCAGGCCTGGGAAATTATGCTGCAGCATCTCTCCCCCTTGGCTCTCAAGGACTGAAGGACACCAAGGTACAAAGAGTTGAGGGAACAAAAAGTCCTCCTTGCCTCAGGGCGAAACCAACTCTGTGATCCAACTCATGGCCCGGAGCTGGAGCTCTGAACTCCGGCTGAAAGCCCTTCTTGCTTAGCTCCACCTGCCCTGACCCCTCCCAAAGTCCCTCTCCCCAGCAAATTATTATACAAGCACCCAGAGTCAGGATGTCCTTCTAGGGAACCTGACTTAAGAAAGAATGTGAAATAAAGAAATGAATGTGGTAGTGATGGGACTGGCTACACCAAGTGGTCTGGGGCTGAGGGTGGGTTGAGTAGAAAGGTGATCAGCATTTGAAAAAGGCATTCTGTTTTCTGAGTTTGACCGGGAGCCTAACTTAGCCAGGTCAAGGAAGGGGAGGGGAGGAGGGAGCACTCCAGGTAGGCTTGGTGCAAGGGATAGACACCCAGCTGAAGAGGAAAGAGCATGGCTACTGTGGGGAACTGCATGCAGGTGGAGGTAGCTGGACTATAAAGTGAGATGCCAAAGAGGCTGCAGATGCAGGTGGTGGGAGGGTCAGAGCTGGAGTATGTTTTGTGTGCTCGGTGCTCCCTAGTTGTTTTAATATCAGCACCTCTCCTTTCTGTTTCTGTATACACTGAGTTGCCAGATTATTATGATCTCTGAACCCATAATAATCTGGCCACTCAGTGTATATCCTATATATTAAAAGGCTAATATGCAAATTGTCCCCTCGAACAGGAGTTCAACCATCAGGCAGACCAGCCAACAGCCCATGCTCCTTCCCCCTGACCAGGCTGGCCAGACCTCACCCATGCATGAATTCATGCACCAGGCCTCTAAAATATATCTATATCTATATCTATATCTATATCTATATCTATATCTATATAATCTATCTATCTATACACACTGAGTGGCCAGATTATTATGGGTTCAGAGATCATAATAATCTGGCCACTCAGTGTATGTCTCCAAGTTTTCCTTTCTCTGAGTATCTCTCACCACCATGTCTCTGTTCCCCTCTGCTGTGTCACATACTTCCCAGCTATCTGACGCTGGACAATTACTCTCTGTCTCCATAAATGAGAATATCGTCAGTGCTCACTTCGTGGAGTTGGGGGCTGACCAATAGAGGAAACATATGTACTAATCCAGTGCCTGACTCAAGATGGGTGCCTAATAAATGGTAGCTGCCCTTCCCATTGCTTCTGCATTTACTTTATTTATCTGTTCTCTCTCCCTTAGCTGCCTATAAGAAAAAACTGATGTTTCAAAGAGATTACTACTTATATTTACCAAGTAAACATTCCCTATTTGCCATTCCAATAGAAATCATATCATTTTTAAATTTTTTGTAGTTTAATAACTCCCCCTTTCCTTAGTTTAGCAGTCTACTTCTCAGCTTGTAATAGCTTCAAAATATACCGAGGTACAGTGTACATAAGTCCACAACACTAGTGTAGTAGAGTGTTCTTTTCTTCAAGGGTCTGTTGAATAAAAGATAAGGTGAGTGGTTGGGTCAGTTATATAGACTAGTATTTGGAAGTTGAAATGTTTTGGGAGTAAAGCGCTATTTTTATATTTAATTTCAAAATCCCCAAGTATTCTGTTTTCTGAGTTTCTTTTTTAAAAATATATTTTTATTAATTTCAGAGAGGAAGGAAGAGGGAGATGGAGACATTCATGATGAGAGAGAATCATGGATCAGTTGCCTCCTGCAAGTCCCCCACTGGGGTCCAGCCCACAACCCAAGCATGTGCCCTTGACCAGAATTGAACCTGGAATCTTTCAGTTCGCAGGCCAACGCTCTGCCTACTGAGTCAAACCAGCTAGGGCTTTCTGAGTTTCTTGACAGGGGAGCCAGGCCATGGCAAATCTCAGGGAACCAGGTGGGCTGGGATGAGTAGGATGATGTCTCCTCCCCTTTGTGGTTTTTGCATTTTAGACAAAAGTGAATTCAGATATTTCGCTAGTCCTAGGCAGAGAAGGCTGAAGGTGTGGGAACACTGGCTTCCACGAGACGAGAAAGGTATTAATCATCGGCAGGTACTCCTCAGCTCATGGCGAGGAAGGCCAGAGGTAAGAACGAGCCGGGGACTTGGAGTGTAAAACAGCCCTGCTGGATGGCTACTAGGTTACCCGCAGGTGAGGTACAATTTAACCGAAGGCTAAGTCTGAATGCCTGATCTGCCCTTAGCAGCTTTTTTCTTTTTGTCTTTGAGCAAGTGACAAATTCTCAGTTTCGATATTTAAAAAAAATGTAATAAACACCTACACTACATAAGACCGTTCATAGGGTTATATTAAATGGGATAATATATTTCAGCATTTAGCATATTTCCTGGTATGCAGTGCATGGCAACATGGTAGATTATTATTGGACCTAGTTATTTTTTTCCTCCATTAGTTTGATACAGAAATAGTTTCTCGTCTCTCCAATGGGGAATAACAATAGTTTCTCTTGTCCTTTTCCAAAAAGATAGAGAATGCTGGACTTCTATATGTAATCGTGAAAATCCCAGAGAAATATACTTTCATTCCCCTCCTTACACAGGCAAAGAAATCCAACACACTGCATGCAGAAAGAAGTGCAAGAGCAGCCCAGCAGGGGGCGCCTCAGCTACCCCAGGGGAGGCAGGTGTGAGTTATTTGCAGTGCAGCTGGCCAGGCCTTCTGAGAGAGCACCGCAGTCCGTCACTGACCTTGGAGATGGGGACTGGCTCCGGTTCCAGCAATTGCCGACTTATGGAGGCCTCGGTGCCAGAGGAAGCAGTCCTCTCCAGAACGTGGGAGCTCTGAGTAAAGAATACAACCCAGGGTTAGATAAGCCATTTCTCATGTGGATGGCACGGGGTGAGATCACGTGGCCACCTGGGAACGGGACAGTGAGCTATGTTAGAAACTGCGGGCTCCTGAGGAGAACAAAGGCAGTAGGAACAGTCAGGAAAATCGCAGCCAGGATTCTGTTGTCCCCTCTTATCGATTTGCTGCTGAACCAGTCCTACATTTTGGATTAAATCTTAAAGTAGGAGTCAGGGACCACACAAATTTTTTTTAAAACATTAATACATCCACTACATACACAATTAGCCTTACGTAAGAATATCTGCTTACCTCTCCAATGGCACTATACAAAGAGAAAATTTTACGTCAAAAAGCCCAGAGCTTTAATACCATTTAGTGTTTAGAGTTTCTTATAATCCCTATGAGATAATTACATTATAACATTATAATTATTATATGATAATGTTTTATAATAATTCTTAAGTGGACAGAAAAGAAAACAACTCATTAAATACAATAGACAGTAGATGTCCTTTACAAAGACTATAGTCTTCATTGATCTGAATATTCATTGATCAGTTGGATAACACTCCAACAGAAAAATAGGTAAAGCACATGAACAGAGAACTCACACAGAACATTTGAAAAGATGTTCACCTCAGCCTCAGAAGTATTCAAAGAAATGAAAACCAAAATAAAAATGATTTTTTTAAACCATTAGAGAATGGATTAGGGTTAGAGGAAAGGGAGTATAAATTGGGTATGATCTAGCTAAAGAGGAATTTTGCAATTTTATTAAAAACTTTTTTGGATTGCCTCATTTACGTAGCAATCCTACAGCTAAATTTTCACCCCAAGGAAATAATCAAATACTTACACAAATATGTAAAAACAGATATGTTTACTCAAGCATTATTTGTTGTAGTAGAAAAAAAAATATATGTATAATACAAACATAAGGAAATAGTATGGAGTGATTAAAGATGACAATATGGATCCCTGTGAACTGATATGTAAAAATACTCATAGTGTTCTGTCAACTGAAAAATCAGGCTATAAAAGTATACAGAATATAATGATGTTATAATACAATCAAAAATATATTTCAGAATGTTTGAATAGAACTGTAGCTATCCAAAGGTGGAGGGATGATAGATAATTTTTAATTGCTTCTTAATATTTTTCTAATTTTTTAATGCAATAAGTGGATATTACCTGTACATATGAAAAGACATGAAGAACGTTCTATGGGAGAATAATTTTGAAAGACATCAAAGAACTCAGTGTAGTGGATTTTCAGACATAGGCTGAAAATGAAATATAATGTTTTTACTCTAGTTATTTCATTTTTTTAATAGACAGGTTGGTATTTTATTTACTTATTGAGCCCTCTATTTTTGATATATCACTGGAAAACTATTAGATTAACATTTGCTCTTTCGTAAAGAAAATGACACTTCGAACTGAGCCAATTATTCTAATTTCTTTGTAAGTTTAAAGCTTTTGGTTATTTCTATTATCTTGAAAACAAGGAGTCTGATCACAGATTTTAAAAATCCTACCTAAATGCATTTTGAGCCATTTATTAAAAAGAAAACAACTGAAGGAAAAGATTTATGAATTGCTCTCATTCTTCCAATTTGTGAGAAAACAGAAGATAAGAACAGATGTTTTCACACCAAATATAATGGGGCAGAGGTTAGCAAGAATTCCCAATTTGACAGCTACAGTACCGAAGGACAATTTAAGCATTAACTGGGACTCTGCTTTTTCCATTCCCAGACCTAATTAAATTAGCAGAGAAAAATGATAAATGTGGCTGAGTACCCATACCTGTGCCAATGCCTTTTGATGTGAGAATCCAAAAGCCAAGGCATACGATGGAGTGAAAGATGAGATGTGTGTTCAGATCTTCAACAGACAAAATGGGAACCAACCACATAGGAATGGCATTATTTGTTTGTTCATGCTGATATTTTGAATAGGATCCTAGGCTAACATGTGATGGTCTATTGCTATTTTTAAATAAATTTAGGAATATTTTAAAATTCTACCCATTTTAATTTCTAACACAATAAATATAAATAGGTACACAAACAAAAGCTCTTTAAAGCCTTCAGTAATTTTTAAGAGTGTAAAGGGTTCCTAAAACCAGAAATTTGAGAACAACTGTTCTAGAAGAACTACTTTTTAAAATGTTGTGTTTATTATTAAAATGGAGAATTCTGACTGCATGTAGGTTATTCTTATTTCTCATAATGCTTCTTTTGAGGAAAAGCACTGTTTAAAAACGAACACATTTTAAATTTTCTTTAACACTAGTTAACCTAAATTATATAAATCTATTCATTAATAACCCCAAACTATCCTGAGACATTACACAAGCTATTAGAGGGAAATAAACCTTATATCATATACTCTTCAAAAACATCTGAGCAAAACTCCTCTAAATGTATATTCTATAAAACTAAAAAACCATAAACCTATTTTTCAAATGTATTAAGTTGATTTTTCTAAAAAAGAACCACAGGTAGTAAAGATATATAGATGTCACTCCACCACAGAGATATAAATAACTTCATAATTTGAGATAAATTCCTCAGGAAAAACAGTTTTCAAGATAGCATTTTAAAAAATCAAGAAATAGAATATTTTAGAAACTACACAGTTCTTCCCTCACTATTTAATAGAATGTCAACCAAAACGTTCAGTAAAGTAAATATAATAAAGCAGAAAACCAGAGACTGCCAGTGATAGGTGTCACTCATTCATTCACTTGTGTGCTGGCTCAATTAATCTACAGATCACTGTTAGACATCTGTACTGTGTCAAGTGCAGGTTACAGCATGCCAGAAAACAAAAGAGACAAGAGAATTCCTCCTGTGATGCTTATAGTCTAGAGAGAGGCCTTTTTACACAAAAGTCCAAATAAGGCTGAACAAAAAATTGTTGTAAACACAAGCATTAATCTTGTTCCATGTGGCTATGGCTTTAGCTTACTTTATTTTTTCCAGTGAAATATTTTTGGTCTGAGTTTCTCTTTAAGGATCTTACCCTATCCTTAGACTTGTAGGTTGCTGAGCAATCAAGTACACATACTTTGCCTCCTCACCCTCCACCCCTCAGCCCCCAACAAATAAACATGGTAAGAAAAGGAGAACTTGGAAAGAAACTCGACCTTAGCAACTATGTAAGCAGAAAATAAAGGATTAATTCAGGAATTTAGCCAGGGGAAGCAAACTAAATCCCCTAATTTCCGAACCAAGCCACAGACAGAGGAATCAATTTAGGGTATTTAAAGTGTGATAGAAAGAGTCTTGCTTCTATAGTTGCCCAGGGATACTTAAAATGTTGCTAGGATTTTGTGGATAAGAAGGGTTAGAGACCAAACAAACCAAGACAGAATCTATAAATTACCCCAATACCTGTTACAAAGAACATATTAGTTTCTTCTCCACCTGATTCTACAAAATAGTTTATATTATGGGAGCAAAGAGGCTCATTCATTTCAAACATGGTACAATATAGTACACATTCAAGCTGAGTGAAAAATAGCCTAAATTTTGTTGATTTGCCAAGATACAGAAAATCATAAAAAAATAGTTACTAAAAAATAGCAAGTAAATGAATATTTTTATTACCACAAATGAGTACATATTTTACTGAAAAATTAAAGCATAATTTATAAAACTACCCATTATAAATGTAATCTAGCTTCAAAAAATAAGCTATTTCATTTAACCTCCAGAATGATAACAAAGAAGCCAAATGCTCTTATCCAAACTTGAGCAGTCTTATACAAGGTAGGCAAAAGTAGGTTTACAGTTGTGAGTACTCAAAACAGAATTTATTCTTGCTTATTATTTACAAGAGGCCTGGTGCACGAAATTCATGCCCGGGACGGGGGAGGTGTCCATCAGCCAAGCCTGCACCTCTCCAATCTGAGACCCCTTGAGGGATGTCCCACTGCCCGTTTAGACCCGATCCTGGTGGGATTGGACCTAAACGGGCAGTCAGACATCCCTCTCACAGTCCAGGACTGCTGGCTCCCAACTACTCGCCTGCCTTCCTGACTGCCCCTAACCGCTTCTGCCTGCCAGCCTGATCCCCCCTAAACACTCCCATGCCAGCCTGATTGATGTCTAACTGCTCTCCTGCCAGCCTGTTTGCCCCCAACTTCCGTCCCCTGCTGGCCTTGTCACCCCTAACTGCCCTCCCCTGCAGGGTTGATTGCCTCCAACTGCCCTCCCTTGCAGGCCTGGTCTCTTTCAACTGCCCTCCCTTGCAGGCCTGGTGCCTCCCAACTGCCCTTCCCTGCTGGCCATCTTGTGGTGGCCATCTTGTGTTCACTTGGGGGCAGGATCTTTGACCCCATGGGGGCAGCCATATTGTGTGTTGGAGTGATGGTCAATCTGCATATTACTTTTTTATTATATAGGATTGTATTATTTCCCATACAAATAATTGTAAATTGACTTTTGGTCCACTCTCTATTTGTATATCGCTAGAACCTAACTATCATTATCTATCCAATAACAGAAAATTAATCTACTACCTTAATGGACTGTCTTCAATCTTATGGTTTTTAAATTCAAAAGCATATGCCTGAAGTTACAGAACCACACAGAAAACCATTCATTACTTTAATGAACTAGCTAAGCACATTTATGAAGAAGACAGTTTTCAAACTTACCATACCCTGGACTCTAGTTAAACTGGGTGCTACTTGGAGGGAGGGACCAGCTCATCTTCATCTTGGTATCCCTCTCCTTTTACCCCCCCAGCCCACCCCATTCTAGCACAAGACCCTGAACAGTGCAGCCAGTCAAAATGTTCTGGAATTTTTCAGTGCTCTCTGATTAATTTGTAGAGCACAGTCCTTCAGTAAACATTAACACATGATTAGGCATTAAACTTCTTTAGCTTCATCTCTGAATTATAAAAATCACAACTCTAATAGGATAAAACTTTAGAAAACATTTAAAGAACTCAACTTTTTTGCATTAAAGTA